TTATTTACTTGTACCAAATATACTCAAAGAAATGATATATTTGTCTCATGGCCAAATAAATATTTATTTGATTCAAATAAATTTTTATTTGATTTAAATAAAAAAATTTATTTACGCCAAATAAATAAGCAAGTAGGCTCTGAGACAAATATACATTTATTTAACTTAAATAAATTATATTTGGTTCAACTTTTAAAGATAAACTAATTTTTTTATTTTTAATACCTAAATTAACTTTTTTTTCTATTCAATTTTTATTTCTTTTATCATTATTTTTTTAAAAAAAAGAAGAAAATTAAGAAATAAAAATCAAATAGAAATTAATTTCTTTTTTCTTGGTAAGAAAAGAAATTTTTTCGCTTCGCAATTTTCTATTCGCTTTCTGATGACGAGTAAATAATACCTAATTGCCTATTTGGTCAAGAGTATGGTATTTGTTCAATTTCTCGCGACTCTAATTTGCATATAGTTTCACCTAAGACAAGAAAATGGAAACAACCTATACGTAAAGATGCAAGGTGCATTTTATGTAAAATAAAACAGCTATATCTTGACAATCTAGAAAAAAAAATTTATTTGATTCAAATAATCCGTTACTTGACTATTATCAAAGAAATAATTATATTTGAATTAAATAAATATTTACTGGAATTAAATAAATATTTACTGGAATTAAATAAATATTTACTTGAATTAAATAAATATTTATTTGTATTAACTAATTATTATTTGTGTCAATTAAATGGTATTTGTTTTAAATACAAAAATTATTGCTTCAAATACAATTTATTTAATTAAATTATTTGGTTTCAAAAATTTCTTTGGTTCAAGTAAATATTTATTTGTTAATACTAACCGATTATTTGAATCAAATAGATTTTTTTTCAGTGCATGATTCTCAAACATAAATGAAACATCTAGTGACGATTTTTATAGTAAATATTCGAACAGCACGTGCTTTTCTTATGTAAGACTCATTATCCCAATATAAGCGGTACTCAACTTTGTGGAATCATGAAAAAAAAAAAAAAAAAATTTCCAGATTTTATTGTTTAATTGATAATTTAAATAGAGTTCAAAGAAAATAGATTTTTTTCTACTATCAACATAAAATTTTCTATATACAAAAATATATACATATATATTTTATCTCTTCGACGGAATAGCGTTTTATTTTTTTTTTCCTCTCGATCTCAAGTGTGGGAACTTTTCTTATGCGAAATTCCGCGCTACTTTAAAACTCTTGCGAAAAGCAACCAAACATTCTGAATCTATTTTATTTTGTGTCTAAAAAAAATATGAGAAAAAAATTTGTATATTTAAATTTTTTATAAAAAATTTTTTTTATAAAATTTCAATAATATTTTTACAAAAATAAATTTTATTTTAAATTAAGCCTTCCCTTCCTCATAAATAATTATCGCAAAACCTGTTAAAACCTCTCCCTCCCTTATTATAATTTGTGAATGGTGTAATTTTTAAAACGATAGTAAATCATTTTTTTCCTAAACGGAAATATATAAAATTAAAAAAAAAATTTCCAATATTTAAATAAAAGAAATTTCTATAAAAAAAAATTTATTTGATTTAAATAATCACTTACATGACTAGACTGAAAAAAAATGTATTTGATTCAAATAATCGGTTACTTGACTATTATCAAATAAATATTTACTTGAATTAAATAAATATTAAATTTACTTGAATTAAATAAATATTTACTTGTATCAAATAAATATTTATTTAATATCAAATACAGAAATTATTGGTTCAAATACAGTTTATATTTAATTCAAAATATAAATTACTTGTTTCAAGTAAATATTTATTTAATAATAGTCAACCGATTACTTGAATCAAATAAATTTTTTTTCAATGCATTAAATAAATATTTTTAAATAATTATTATTTGAGTCAATTAAATGGTATTTATTACAAATACAAAAATAATTGATTCAAATATAATTTATTTAATTCAAAAAAAAAATTATTTAGTTCAACTAAATATTTATTTGCTAATAGTTCAGTAACTAATTATTTGAATCAAATAAATTTTTTTATTGTCGGAAAGAAAATTCAAATAATTTAAAAATTAATTTAATTATTATTATTATTATTATATTATTATTATTAATTTAATAATTTAAATATTAATTTAAATAATAATTTAAAAATAAGAATAACAAGAGTAACCAACAATCGAAGATAATAAGGGTAACTAATCTAAGATCATCTGGTCAGTAATTCAATGATCGTTTCATAAAGGTGTATATACTTATTCAATATGTTACCTAAAGCGTGACAATGACATTAAATGACTTGACAAGTATGATAAATAGGCAAAAACAACTTATAATATAATAGAATTATCGCAAAATTGAAGTTAAATCAAATACACTGAAAAATAAAATTTATTTCTAATAATAATAATAATAATAATAATAATAATTTTTATTTTAATCAAATTAATTTGTATTTAAACCAATAATTAACTGTATTCGAAACAAATAAAATTTAATTGTATCAAATAAAAATTATTTGGTTCAAGGAAATATTTATTTGATAATATTCAAAAGTTATTAGAATCAAATAAATTTTTTTTTCATTATATAGATATATGAACAAGAAAAATAATTTTTGATTATATAATTATAATTATTATAATAATAAAAATAAAAAATGTTCAAAAAAATATTTGTTTATTTTTTTTATTTATATAAGAATATTGAAATCAAAAAAATTAAAAATTCTTTCTACTCTTTTTTTTCACAATTTGGTTTTCTATTCACTATTTTCTACCGCTAAGTTTAAAATTGCTCAATTTCAGCAAAAAACCTCATCCGGAGATATTTTTAGCTACTCTCTAATTTGTATATACATCTATATTATATAGAGAAAAGAAAAGTACTACCCATTTGGTCGAGAGAATTATGTATATAAAAATAAAAGGGGGATATTGTTGAGTTTGTGTGTGTGTAATTCTTTTAAATAAATAGAAATTTACTAATTATCCATTATATACAAAAAAAATTGTAAGTTATTAAAAAAAAATACTTAATTTAATACCAAATTATAAACAAATAACCTTCAATTTTTTTTTTTATTAAAATAAGATCTTATTTATTTAAATAAAATTTTATTTTAATAACCAACAATTTTCTGTGTGATATATAAATAATTTTCGAATTCTGAAACTAACGCACAGAAAAAAAATTTTATTTTCTTCAAATAATCCATTACTTTATTTTATTAAATAAATATATTTACTTGAATCAAATAATTTTTACCAAATAAATTTTATTTGAATTATATAATTGAACCAATAATTTATGTATTTTAAATAAATATTTTATTTATATAAATTGTCTCAAATAATAATTATTTAAAAAATTTTATTTGATAATAAATAAATAATAAAGTAATGCATTATTAGAATCAATTTTTTTTTTCAGTTCATCGGAATAAATTATTTATCTTTATAATGATTAAATGGAAAATTGCCTTGTTCTTCTTTCCAGTGCAGTAAACAGTTTCATCCTATTCTAGAACTATGTAAAAGCGTGCCAAGAATAAGTAGTCACGTCATTTGTCCTTCAGCTTTAACCGAGAAATTTTCTCCAGCATCAACTGAGAGAATATATATATATATATGTATAAATAATCTATATACCTTTCTTGGAATACACATAATTTGCAAAAAAAATTCTCATTGTATCAAGAAATCAAAATAAAATCAATTTTAAATTCAAAAAATTATTCTTAAAATTTAAACAATAAAAATGAATAAAAAAAACGTATCTGAATTTTCACTAAAATTCTAAAAATAAATTATAACCAAAATTAAATAGAATTTTAAAATGTGTAACAAATTTAAAAAATGTTTTTTATCAAAAACTGACAGAATTTCTGGAATCATTATCGAACAATAAAGTAAAATGTCAGTGATAACTAGTCACGTTAAATGCACTGCATATAGATAAAAAAAAAATTCTATTTCTTATCAGAAGTAAAAAAGAAATAAAAATAATTACGATTCTTAATAGTAAAAAGAAAAAAAAGTAAAAACCGAAAAAAAATTTCTCAATTATCATAAAGCACAATATGTCTCACTTTGTCTCGCATCAATCTGTAATAAAGAAGTCGGCAATGTAGCAAATTAAATCGACGCTTAATTAAATGATTAGATGACCCTATCATCAATTTCACTCGTCAATTTACAAAACAGTAGCTTGCCATAGCAATGACTTAATTGTGACTTTTTTTTTACTTCCAATTTAAAATAATCAACGAAAAAAATTAAGATCAAATTCTAGGTCATTGAACCAAATGAAAAATTTTCCAAAAAACCTGTTATTTGATCTCATTATTTTAAAAATAATTCCCAACTATAGAAAAATGTTTCAATGACATGCATGAATAACTATATCAGTGTCACGCAATATCTCCTTATACCTGTCAAGTTGATTAAGTCAAAAGAACTACCAACGAAATAAACAAGAAAAAAAACCTTAAAACTCTATTCAAACACACGAAATTTATATTATTCAAATTAGAAAAAATATTCCTAATGAAATATAAAAAAAAAAAACCAAAATCGGGAGTGGCTGGTTTAAATATTGAATCTTTAAGCGACGATTTTTACTTGTATGCTTCTATGTGACAAAAAACCACCCCCTGCATAGCCGGCGCCCCATCAGCCATGTGTACCGCCTTCGAACCTACGCCCCTGTGTCTTATTACGGTGTTTAATGTACTTTAGAACAAAAAAACGATGGTAAAACAATTGCCATACTCTACCATGACTTTTGCCATTGTTTAATAAACACTATATTTTTCAATTGTCGATAAAATTTGACAATTAATACAAATCATCACTATCATTAAGCGACCCATCCCAATTTTAACACTAACACACGAAGAAAGGATCAAAAAAAAAAAAAAAATCGGGTGACACAAGATTGTCAGCAACCCGGGAATCAATCAATTTACAAGTAACTCACCATATCCAATAATTGCCGGAACTTGTATCCAAACATAACACTAATAACACACGAGCACCACTGTAAACTTTAAGAATTTTGTTATTTTAAAACATTTGCATGAAACTCGCGTTAAAGTCCTCCCGCAAACATAGAAAATGGCGTTAACTTCGTTGGTCCTGTCGTCCGTAGTCTACGGCGGCCAACTCGATTGTGCGCGATTGTTGCGCCGCCTTCATGACGCCGGGCGTTATTAATACTAGAGGTCGCTTGCTTTGTCGGTAATTTTCTACATTATCGACTATTGATAATTTCAAACACTTAAAAACAATATGGCGAATGCCTACGAGTACACAGCGGCTTGAACTGATTTTTTAATTATATTTAAGATTTTTAATATTTTAATATTATAATATTACAAAGAATTAGGAAATTTAATAATATTACATAGTGAAGTTCTATTTTATTTGTACAATTAATTTATATCAACTGTACGAAAATGAAAAATTCCGTAAGTAAAATAACATTTACGAAAATAATATTCCTAACCTTAAAAATTTTATATTTTTCTTTTATTTTTATTTAAAATATAAATAAACTAATTTTTTAGAAATAGATATTTTTTGTAAGTAATTTTTGTTTGGAAAAAGATATTTTGTAACTAATATATAAAAAAAAAAAATTCTATACTATTGAAGATTTTTTTTTAGAACAGAAATTTATAGTTTTTTTTTAAATATCGTTATTTATTTTATAGGACGATATACAAAAGCACTCGGTGCATACTTTAGTATTTAGATCTTTAAAAAGAACTCACGATATGTTTGTGAATAATCAAGGAATGTTACCTCCATTTGATCCTGAAATGTAAGTTATTCTCTTATTGAAAATTTTAATTATTTGTCTCTTTATTTGTTTATAATAATATTTGTGGATTCTTTTTTTCTTTCATTTTCAGAGATAAATTTATTAAAAATATAAAAGCCAGAGATACTTATGGTCCAATTGTTGATAGAGTGAAAAATATGAAAATGATGAAAGCACAAAGCGAGAATGATAATCCTGATCCTCCTCCGCCTGGAGGTAAATTTTATTTTATTTCTTGTATCAAGGGAAAAGAAATATTTATTAATTTAATAATTTATTTATTAATTCAATTATTTATTTATTTAATAATTTGTTTATTATTTATATTAAATTGCAAATAATGCTAGTTTATAAATATTTACTGTAACTCTCAAAAGAAATGTTTTTTTTCAATGAAAATTGAGATTTATAATTAAATTTATTTGTAAATTTATATTAAATTTTTATTTAATTTTATTATTTTTATTTAAATCTATTATTAATAAATATAGATTACATTGGAAATAAAATTAGGTTTAAAATAAACTTTTCCTTTAGTAAATTGAAATTCTTATTTTCGTGGTAATTTTCAAAAATAAATTCTTTTTTCCTATTAATTTCTTTTTTTTTTAGATGAATCATTTAATGCAGTGGTACCTCAACAAAATTCAATGTCCAATTCACTGGTACCAGTTACGCAAAATAACTCGAGTGCTGCTTTGGCAATTCCACAAAAGAAGGCACCTTCAATGGCAAAACCAAAATGGCACGCACCTTGGAAATTGTATCGCGTTATATCTGGTCATTTAGGTTGGGTAAGATGCTGTGCAGTCGAACCAGGAAACGAATGGTTCGCCACTGGATCCGCAGACAGAGTAATCAAGGTATTAATTTTTAGATCCTTTATTTTTTTTCTGTATTTTATTTAATTTTAATTTCAATAGAATTTTTAAAAAACTTTATTTCAACAAACAAAATATTGGTTTTTTTTTTATCAAAAAGTTGAATTGGCAACAAAATATTTATTTAATTTTATCTTCTTTATTGAAAATTAATTATTATTTTAGATTTGGGATTTGGCATCGGGAAAATTAAAGGTATCATTGACGGGTCATGTAAGTTCTGTGAGAGGTCTACAATTTTCCGACAGACATCCTTATTTATTTTCCTGTGGCGAAGATCGACAAGTAAAATGTTGGGATTTAGAGTACAACAAGGTTAGTACTTTAAATTTCACGAGTTTTTAATATTGATTAAATAGAAACAAAAATTGTATAAATAGAGAGAAATTAATAATTTTTTTTTATAATTATTACAATTAAAAAGGTACGGGATAATAAATTATTTTACTATTATTACCTAATGTTTAATTCGTTATTAATTAATTATAAATTAAATTTTTAAAAAATAGAGATATAAATAGATAAAATTATTAATTTATAATATTAAATAAAATGAAATAAAATTAGAAATGAATTTTATAAATGAATTACCTAATTTAAATTTGGTTTTTAATTACAGGTGATTAGACACTATCACGGTCATTTATCCGCTGTTTATTCAATGGCTCTTCATCCCACACTTGATATTTTATTGACTGCTGGTCGCGATGCAACAGCAAGAGTTTGGGACATGAGATCGAAAGTTAATATTCATACATTAACGGGACACACAAATACAGTTTCAAGTGTTATTTGTTCTCAATACGAACCACAGGTATTTCTTCAATTGTTAACTAATTATTTTTATTTTATTCAATTCTGGAGAAATTTAAATATTTTTCAATAAACATCCAGAGGAAAAGATTTTTTTGCAGAAATTTTGTGTTTAAGTTTTAAAAAATTAAATATTTGTATGTATTTAATTAGAATATTAATTATTTTTCAACTTAGGTTATTACCGGTAGTCATGATCAGACAATAAGATTATGGGACTTGGCTGCTGGAAAATCTCGAGCTACTCTCACCAATCATAAAAAGAGCGTTAGAGCTGTTGCCCATCATCCTGGATTGTAATTATCAAAAACATTTTTCAATTTTATATTTATTATTATCATTTAATTTATTGACTTTTTTTGCAGTAAATTAATTTATTAGTAATTAATTTTTTGTTTTATTAAAGATACGCCTTTGCCAGTGCTTCTCCTGACAATATTAAACAATGGAAATGTCCAGATGGTAAATTTATACAAAATTTATCAGGACACAATGCAATTGTTAATTGTTTAGCAATTAATCAAGAAGGCGTTCTTGTTTCTGGCGCTGATAACGGGACAATTCATTTTTGGGATTGGAGAACAGGGTTCGTTTCACAATCAATATTTTTAAAAGTTAATTTCATTTTTCAAATTTTTAATTAATCATCAAAATTATACTAATTAATAGTTTTTAAATTTCAAAAATAAAATTTCATAAAATAATTTTTGAAATAGAATTTAATAATTTTACTATACGTTTGAATTTTTCTTTTTAGTTATAATTTCCAACGATTACAATCACCAGTGCAACCAGGTTCAATGGACAATGAGGCTGGAATTTTCAGTCTTACTTTCGATAAATCAGGCACAAGATTAATTACAACCGAGGCTGATAAAACCGTTAAAATGTACAAAGAAGATGACACAGCGGTATGTAGATTTTTTAAAATATTACATTAATTATATTATTATTATTATTATTATATAATAAATATATATTAATATTTGATAAATTATTTAAAAAATTTATTAAAATTTATAATATTTATTTAAAAAAAAGAAAAGAAGTATAAAAATCAAAACTTTTTTTTTTCAGTCTGAGGAAACACATCCAGTTAATTGGCGACCAGAAATTATTAAGCGAAGAAAATACTAATAACTATAAATATATTTATAATTATAATAAATTAGTTAATTAATTTAAGATATTTGATTAATTTTCGTATTACTTTTGTAATAGGAAAAAACAATTTTTTATGAATTGAAATAAAAAAAAAAAAAAGAGAATGATGTCCAAAAAAAAATAGTTTTATTAATTTTAAAAATAGAGTATTAAAAAAAAGGGGGTTATTAATTTATATAAACTAAAGCTCCTCATCCAAATCGTAATCTTCTTCGGGAAAATCGCCAACTTTCACATGATGTGGTTTTATAAAACCACCATATTTTGGACCACATTCGAAATATACCTTTCCATTAACACTAAAACAATAATTGGAAATTTTCAATTTTTTTTTTTGTATAATTAGATTTTTAAAATATTTTTTCTCGCAATTTTTAATTTTTTTTTTTTTAGTAAAATAAGTTACTTTTTATTAAAATTTAAATTAATTTTAATTCATAAAAAATGAACTAATAATTATAAAATGTAATAATTGTCATTTACCTTCCGTTATTTTTACCAAGAGGCTCGTCATATTTTACTCCCACCCACCAACCTTCTTTAAAATCAGTTTTACCTGAAGAAATATGTCATATATTTTATTATTTTATTTATTATTAATTTTTATTTGTTTATTAATTTTAATTAATTTATTTATTTAATGAAATTACTCACCAACGTACATGACCGTCGCTCTTCTTTTTGCCTGATTTGGAACTTGAACTTCACAACGATCTCCAATTTTACACAATCGTGCAGCAGCTTCCTCAGCTTCTTCTTCCTTTAATTTCTCTTCTTCTTTACGCTTCATTTCTTCTTCATTATATTTTCCCAATTTATTTTTCTCCAAAAATGCTTTTACCGTATCTAATATTTATTTCAGTTATTAATTTAATTATTAAAATATTAAATTTTTTTCTAAATTAACTTATTGGAGTACCTGTTCTTTTTGAATAATCTTCCTCGGACAATTCAAATTTTTCCACACTAGATAAATCATCTTCCAATTGACGAGAGAAATTATCTACAACCTGTATTTAAAAAAAAAAAAAATAGAAATTAAATTTTATTTCATAATGTTAAAAAATAAAATTTACAAATACAAAAAATACAATTTAATGTTAAGATTTTGTTTATTTATTAGTTTTATATTTTACGTAGCTGAAGTACGCAACGTTTATATAAACGATTTTTAAAGAAATAATTTTTTTAAATGAAAAATTCTTTAATTTTTTGCCTAAACAATATTTTTTGCAGTTTTCATTAATCAACAAATTATAAAAAAAATATTTTTTAGGTAAAAAATTATAGAATTTTTCATTTAAAAAAATTATTTCTTTAAAAATCGTTTATATAAACGTTGCGTACTTCAGTTTCGTTATATTTTTAAAATACTTACATGTATCCTCATGCCATCATCGATTGGATATGATCCTAAGAGACGACTTGATTCGTTTAATTTGCATATTAATTTATCATTTTTATCATAAACTTCAATATTCATTGTCATTGAATTTCCACCGGTTAATAATTCAAGTTTACCCTGAAATTGAGAATTTTTTATTACTAATATTCTAATATTATTAATATTAAAATAAACACATGTAAAAAGATAATATATATCTATGTTAAATTATTATAATAAACAAATAAATAATTATTAATATTAATATTAAAAATTTGCTAAAGTGATTTGAAATTTGTATTTATCTTTAAATTTTTGTTTAATATTTTAATATTATATATTATAAATTTATTTGTGTTTACCGGAAGTTCGTTCAAAGCCAAAATGCATTAACTATAAATAATAAAAAAAAAAATATAATTAATATTAATTATATACCTTCAATTCATCGATTGTTATGCCTTTTTGAAATCTTCTTTCAACACATGTTGTTTGATTTCCAGAATTTGTCACTGAGACATTTACAAAATCCGACGTAATCACAGTATAATTACTCATTTTCGGGGAAATTTTTTTTTTTTTTTTAAATATTAAAAATAAAATCCAAAATTCGTCAAATATCTGTAAAATTAAAAAAGAAACTACAAATTTCGAGGTTAGAAATTATAATTTTTCGTATATATATATTATTTTATAATTACACAATATTAAAGAAATTTTTTTATTTATTTTTAAAACTTTTTTTTATAATAAAGCACAAAATTTTCAAATTAAATTAATTTAAAGAATTGCCAAATGAAATTTTGACAGTTTATAATAATTAACCAAAACATTTTAACAAATAAAAAGAAGATCTTCAATATTTTTATAGCAAAATTTTTTCTTATTTTTGTTTACAGTAATATTTATTAGAAAAAATATTATTCTTTAATTGTAAATGTTTAACAAATAAAAAAAAGAATTATTTGAATTCAATTGCAATATAATCTTAATGCGCAAATTTTGAGAAATTTTTTTTTATTCACCGAGTATATAAATGTACTAGGTGATTCTCTTTTTTAAGAAACAAAAAAAATAATTTTTTACCTATACATAAATAATCTCAAAAACGAATAAATGAAAAAAAAATAGTCTCTTTTTATTTATTTGTCTATTTTAATTTTAGTAAAATTGGATTTATTTCAATAATTTCAATAGATAAAATGTAGAAATTAGATTAAAATAAGTAAATTACTGCTTTATTATAATATTACTTCTTTTAAAAATTAATTAATTATTTAAACTTGATTTGTTGTTGACAGATTGACATTTACTAATTTTGAGGTTAGAATAAAATTGTATAATATTAAATTTAGTTTTACCGATAAATAATATGTATTTCGTATAATTATTACATACCAATTTATTCAATATTTAATTTATTTATTTCTTTTTGTTGTTTTAAATGATCTCTTGTCAATATTTATAATTAATTAACACATTTGAAACATATTCATAACCTCTAATTCAATATATTATTTGTGCCACTTCTTATTTTAATATATCATACCCTCCCAATACATTCAATGTATTGAAAAGGCTATTTCTCGGTGGAAATATGACAAATTAATACCAGGAGTATAGAATGTTAGAAGAAGTGGCACAATATCAACCAATCGGAACGAAGCTTTAGTATTATGTACAATATACAAGAATGTGTCACCTCTGTTTTATTCTACTGCTCCTAATACTTTCTGATAAGCCAACTACTATTCTAAAGATGCAATCTGATTGGCTGTCGCCGTGCCACTTCTGTTTTATTCTACTGCTCCTAATACTTTCCAGTTAGTCTCCTAATATCCTAAAGCTGCAATCTGATTGGCTGATATCGTGCCACTTCTTTATAGATTCTATATTCCCAATACAAATCTTTCAAATTGTGAATGAAAATACGGTTATAAATTCTGATAATGTATTAGAATGTTATAATGTCAAAATAAGAAGTGGCACGAAAAATAAATGAAATTTTCATTGTTTATAAATTACTTTCGTTTATCAAATATGCAATTTAATTATACAAAGTAAATAATGTTTTTTTTTAGTAAATAAATTAAATTTTTTAAGCGAAATATGGAAATAAAAAACATAAATGTAGAAAAACAATTGAATTCTAACCTCAAAAATCAAACTGTCAAATAAATTAATTGCATAATTAGTTGTTTATCGCAATTAAATAAAATAAAAAGAAATAAACAGACATAATATTAATAATATTTATTTTATTATTTAATTTGTAATGGTGTTAATTAATAAATATTTGCTAATTTTAATTAAAAGTTAAACTGTCAAAGTAGTTGAAGATAAAAATAATAAAAATTAATTTTACTTTATAATTATAATTATTATTTTAATATTCTTTTACATCACTCGGTATATATATTAATATATACTCAGTGGAACCAAAATTTCTCCTAAACATTTAATATTGATCTTATGGGAAAAAAGCAGTTTAGATTTATTTTAAGAAAAAAAAAAGAATAAAAAATTTTTTTTAAATTAATAAATTTTTTTAAATTGTCAAATAAAATAATTAAAAAATTACTTAAAACAATATAAAATTTATTCCATTAAAAAAAAGTAAATTAATTTTTTTACTGAGAAAAATAATATTGAACTTTTCAAAAATTTGGGATTAATAAAAAAAACAAAATTACGAAATATGTATTTTTATTTACATAAATTTCAAATAATTTTTTGTTTTCAAACCAACTTATTTAACAATAAATTTATTTTGCACTCTAAATATTGCAAAAAAAAAATATTACATTTTGTAACGCTAAATGATTTTCCTGTTTTTTTTTTTTTTTGCATAAAATTGTAATGACAAAATATATTTTATTTTAATTAACACATAATATCGTTAATGTCAAATAATTTACACAAGTCAATTGTTAGATTCGCAGAATCTCATTAAATTTTACATTGTACAATGATTAGTTTCATTTTTTTGCATAACATATTTCATTCGGTTTTTATTTGTTTTATATATATATACAATTATCGAAACTTGTATAACATTAATTTTAATTTAATTTGTTTTTCATTTCTTAAATATTCTTAAATTCTATTCAAAGATGTAGAATTTTGTAGCCATATATATAATATATATATATATATATATTAAAAAAGAAAAAATTAAATTTGATATTCATACAAATGTAAGCAATCTTTATACATTTTTTTCATATTTTAATATTCTATTTATTAATCATGAAAGATTATATTGAAAAAGTCATTCATCAATCATGAAAGATTAAAATTTTTTTAAAAAAATTGTTTTTCTCTTATTCGTTGATTTTTAATTTATAGTTTGAATATTTTTTTTAAATTACTTCTTTTAAAGAAGTAGACAATTTTAATTTTCTTTTGACAAAGAACAGGGAAAAAAATTAATTTTAATTTTTATTAGTGTAAATTAAAAGCAATGTATAGCGACACTTATTTACTTGTCTACTTATATTTTAAATTTGTAAAATAATAATTATTAAGCAGCAATTCATTCTCACCTGAGCATTTAACTGTCTTTGATTAAAGTGTTATGTATATATATTTATATAAATAACGTTTCAACAGTGAGCAAAAATCGACAAAAAAAAAAAGAACTCCAAACTTTTTTAGTGCATTGAAGAAACGTGAATTGACGTTTGCCGTTACGCAGCTTGTTGTAAAAGCATTTTTGCCTCTTCGTACAAATTTGTACACGGTTTCAAATCCTCTGGATTTTCTTCCTTTCGCTCACATTTGCTACTAAAATAAAATTATTTAATAAAAATAAAATCAAATTAGCTAATTAGAAATAATAATTTTAAGCGAATTAATTAAAATACCTGTAGAGTAAATCGTCACCGGACAATAATCCATACGTGGAATTATCAAAAAGATGTTTTCTCACTAAAGCTGTGTGCATTAAAGCGATGTCGTCCATAAAAAGTTTTTCGTTTTCTATTTGACAAAAAAAAGAAAACATAAATGAAAAAAAAAATAAAATTTAAAAATAACTAAAATTTTATAAAATTAAAAATGAGAAAATAAAATAAAATTTTATTAATTTCTCTCACCAGTATCTCCATATTTTTTGATAAATTTCTCCACTAATTCATTGCCAGCGGCTTTAACGGAAATGCCAATTCGTTGAAAAACAGCTTTACATTGCCAACGATTTTGTGTTACGTCTTGATTTTGAGAACGTCGTGGTTGCGATTCATTGACAAGACTTGCCCAATCAACTCCCAATGCATCTCCCAAACCTTTTCCACTTGTTTTAATATCCTCCTCCAATTCACCGTCCGATATTTCTTCAAAGTCCATTGTCTCCATACTCTCATCTTCAATATTTTTATTGCTAAAATAAAAAAAAGGACAGTTACTTTTTTTAAAAAAATTACAATAATTATATCATCATTTTTATTATTAAATGCTGCCGAGTGATAAATTCAAAATAATATTATAATAATTATAATTGTTTAATTATTAATCAATATTTTAATTAATCGCAAATATTAATTTTTATTCTTTACTAAATTTTCAATTATTTTAATAGAATTTTAATTTCATTCTAATTTAAAATTTTTAATATTTAATTTAAAAAAAAAAAAAAAAAATTAGTGACTAAAAATTACAAATATAATTAATGTTATTGTAAATTAAGAGAAAAGTACCTATAGGGAATTGTTTCGGAAGTGTCTTTTTCCTTTGAGAAAATAGTATTTTCTGCTGATTGTTTAGTAGGCGCTTGAGAAACATCTTGATTTTGATTTGAAGAAGAATCTTGATCGACAGGTTCAATACATTTCTTTGTTACCTTCTCAATTACCTGAAATATAACAAAAAATTAGTTTTATTCATTAAAATAAATTAATTAAAATTTATTATTTTATTTAATGTAAAAAAATTTAATTTCCTATAAAATACATAATTGAATTTACAAATTTTTATTTGATACAATTTTCATTGAACAAAAATTTCATTTTACTGAAATTTATTTAAATTTTTATTTTATTAATTTATTTATATTTCTCTGAATTTCCAAAGAAAGATTCTTTTATTTAACAGAATTTTGTTCATGTGTAATTTAATTAGAATTTCTAATTATATTAAAATTATAATTTATTTAAAATTCAATTTTGTGTATATATAATTTTTTAATTTAATTTACATTAATTATTAAAATATTCAATTATTCTAAAATACAATTATTTTGTCAATTAATTTATTTTTCTATTCAATTTTTATTAGTTTTTTTTTTTATTTCTCTATTGTGTACTTTTTACAAAGTTTTACAATTTTTTCTTTCCCACTATAGTTTTATTCAATTTTTATTTAAAATTCACACAATTTAAACTTGAAGTAAAATAAATTTAAAGAGATTTTAGAGTAATTAAGTTATTACCGGTATAATTAATAAATTAATTTATTTTCCTATTCATTTTTTATTCTAAATTCAATTATTTTTAAAATTCTCACAATTTAAATTTTAAGAAAAACAAATTAAAGAGACGAAGTTAAAATTTAAATAAATTAAAAAAGAATAGAATTTTAAAGTACAAAAATTGTTGTATTTTAGAATAATTAAATTATTCCATAATTGATATACAAAATTGAATTTTTAATTGAAATTTTTATAAAGATTTGATTTTATCCAATAATTGAATTTTGAAAAAGAAATTCGGGAAATTTTTTTTTTTTCAAAAAAAAAAACTAAATATCTCACCTCATCATCCATATTGAGAATATCATCCGGATCATCGCTTATATCACTGAGATCACTTTCAGTGTGTAATGTTTGCAATGATTCCTCGATATTGACACGTTTTACTTCAGGTGGTAAAATTAATGTTTCCTTATTGACTTCAATTTTCTCCTTTGGTGACATTTTTTTTTGAAAACTATCCGACGATTTTTCACGACTTCTCCTCGGTCTACCCTCAGCCAATTCCATTAATTTCTTATTAATTGGCTCATCTTTCATACTATTATGTAATGCACCCTGTTTTGTTAAATGAACAGGTATCTCATCACGTATCTCAGTTGTTGTATTATAATTTCTTCTTTTACCATGATTCGATTCACCAGCATCAATTTCTTTCATTCTATCATTACGATAAGAACCACGACTCATATGTTGCATTGGCGGTGGTTGATTATCCCATTTTCTTGTTTCATTTATTTTCCAATCTGACATTGGACTATCGTAACGCGATGACCATTCCTCTTCGTGTGCATCAGAACGTGGTAGACTCTCTCTTTCCCACATTCCTCTTCCACAACGCCATTCTCTCTCCTCCCAATCATTATTACTTTGATAATTACGATCACGATGTTCAATATCGTGATGAACATCCCAATTATCATTGCTACTTTCATCTCTAACGCGCATTTTATCACTTTGATAATGATGAATATCATCAAATTGTCTTTCATTTTGTATTCCATAACGTTGTCCCCTTTCTTCTCTTCCACGTCGTTCATTAAATGGACTATAACGTCTTGTTTCAACATTTTTCCTTCGATTATCATCCTCTTGATGATGATAATCCATATGCGATCCCTGATCATCATCTTCATTCCAATGCTCAGGTGGTAAACGTGAATAATTCCTATCAAAATTTCTCTCCATTTCCATATTACCACGAGGACTATCGCGTCGATCTATTTTCAATGGTAGATGCTGATCAACTTTATGCTCCTGTGGATGTCCACGTTCAAAACGTGAATTAAATCGTCTATGACGATCTCTTTCATAAATTTGATCACGTTCAATAATAACATTTTTCTCATCACGTGGAAAACGATCCATTAGCTTATGTAAATCTTTATCAAATCTTCCTTCATAACGCTGTGAACTTCTATCGCGTTCAACAAGTTTTTGTTGATCATTACGCGAACGTAATTGTCCTTTATTATCGATATTACGATCCTTACTGCGACGATAACGTTGACTTGAACCACTTTTATCCAAAGGATTTAATGCCGTTGTTGCCATTAATGATGGAATTTCACGTTCACGAATTTTTGTTATCTCCTTATCGCGTTCACGTTCACGTTGACGATCACGACGTTCTTGTATATCATCACGATCCTTATCCCTTTGATCGCGATTCATTCGTGAATGTTCATTTCTTGAATCTTTATCCCTACGTTCCTTACTACGTTGACGGGGACAATTTTTATCATCAAAATTAATATTTTTACGATGTGTTTGATCATCCTGACTACTTGATGGTCGTGATTTTTCATTTTTTCTCGACTCCTCACGTTCTTTACTTCTTTCACGTTTATTGTAAGAATTTTTATCAAAATCACGTTCTTTTTTATCTAAATCACGCAAACGACTTGAACTCTGTTTGGACGGTGTATTATGATCTTGTTTTTTCATTATTTTCTCTGGTGTTCTACTTCTTTTTGATGATGATGAAGATTTTATTTTCAAACGATCCAATGGTGGTGTACGTGAACGTTTTTCACGTTCCTTTGAACGACGTTTTGTTTTATCATCAATTTTACCAATTTTCTCCTCTAAACGATTTTTATTTATATTCTTTTCTAATTCTTTTGGCTTCTCTTGTGATGATTTATTTTTTCCTGTTTCCTTAATGACAATTTCATCAGCGCGTATTTTTTTATGTTTATCTCTTTCTGTTTCTTTTACTTTTACTTTAGGTGGTGATTCACTGCGATTTTTTTCTTTCGATGATTTACTATTATTCGATGAAATTGGCACTGGTGATTTTGTCCTTGGTACTGAATGTTTACGCACTGAATTTGGTACTGAATTCACTTTTTTTGTTGATTTTTCATCTTTTTTTGCAACTTCAATTTTACGTTGCTTCTTTTTTGTTATTAATTTTTCATTTTTTTGCCCTAGTCGTTTTAGTTTTAATCTGAAAAAAAGGAAAAAATTAGATTAAAATTAATGTTACATTTTTAAAAAAAAGGTATATTACTTCTTTTTTCGATCCTTGTCGTCATTATAATCGGGTGATGCGCTATGATGTTTGATTTTCTTAAGTTTCTTGACCTTTTTACGTGAATCGGATGTCGATGTTGATGATGAATCGTCACTGCTTGAACTACTGCTACTACTTGATGAACTCGAACTACGAGAACTCGATGACGAGCTCATAATTTTCTTCTTTGTTTTCGTCTTTTCCTTTCCATGCACCTCCTTGTCTTTCTTCATTTGGATTTCTAATTCCCTTTGCAAAAGTTGTCGACGTCTCTCTAAAACCTTCTCGTCCTCGTATTCAAGATCCGTTTGATTCCAATCTTCTAAATTTAAATCAGGACTGTGCGATGCTTTTTTCACAAGTTTAGACGTTAATCGTTTAAATGGATCCTCATTAAGCTAATGGGATAAAAAAAAAATTAAACGATTTCCGCTAAAAATTACACTTTTTAATAACTAAACATTTAATGGCATTATGTAGTTAAAAATATTAAGAAACAAAATTAAATAAAATGTTTCAATAAAAAAAAAAATTTCTAAGTACATTTAAAAATTTAAAAGAAACAAAAATTCCTTCGATATTTTCACTAAAATACAAAATTTTAAAAAAAAATTTCCATACGAAAGAATTTTATCTCTTTTTGAAACATTTTCATAATCTTTACTACTGCATTGTCATAGTTTCTTCTTATAGAAATAATGGGTTTAAAAATCGTAAAAAAACAGCACTAAAAACGAATTATATGGGAAAGGGAAATATTTATTGCTTAAAATATTTCTTAAAATAAGAAAATTATTTTCAACGATTAAATATATTTAAAAACCATATGTATTTTTAATTTTAATTTTTAATTTTTATTATAAATTTTATTTTTAATTTCTATTTTTAATTTTAATTTTTGATTTTTATTTTGAATGAAAAAAAAAATGGAAAATCCATTATAAATTTTAAATAGAAATTCTAATGAAAGACAAACAATTTATTAATTTTAAGTGTTTACAAGTTAAATATAAAAAAAATATGAAATAATAACCAATTTAAAAGCTCACCATTATTGATAAACAAAAAATGAATAAACTGAATTTTGCTGAAAAATTTAATAATCCCAGTGGAAAAATTAACATAAAAATAATAATTTAACACAGTTTAAAATTCGAATTAAGACTGAAAATATAAAATATAAATGGCAATGTTGATGTCTAATTTTCTAAATAGAGGAAAATTCTATTTAATTTAAAAATAAATAGAAAGACAATTTTAAAAGCTATTAATAATATTTATCAATTGAAAATTCGAAATAATAGTGAAAAATAATAACACACGGATGTTTTCGAAAAAAATAATTATATAAATAGGACTTAATAATTGAGATAATTAATTAAAAAAAAAACCCACAAATATTTGAAAAAAAAATAAATTTATTAAAAGATTAAAAAAAAAGAAACATTAAGGATTATCTAATTTTAAGAGAAATTTTTTTTTAAATTGAAAACTATCTTACCAACGAAGCATTCGTTGTTGCATTATCCTTTTTCGCTCGTTTTGATGGACTAATTAACGTATGGGTATTTGCATATCTGTTAATAAAAACAATTTTAAAAATCCAAAAAACACTTATTCATTTGAAATAAACTTAATTCTATTTATTTCCTAATTTTATTTTCGTTTCGGTTTAAAAATTCAATTTGCAACAATGTAAAAAAAAAATCTAACTTTCAAAAAATAAAGTTAAAACAAAAAAATATCAATTATTTTCTGGAATAAAATTTCAAATAACAATCGTATTAAAAAAAAAAAAAAAAAAAAGAAAACAAGAATGAAATGAAAAAATAAAAGAAAACTTACTTGCAGCTTTTTCCGTATGAACAACTGCCATTAACTGCCCAATTTCTACAAAAATCTGAAGTATTTTGTATATTGCTGACAATTGCAGGTTTAGTGCCTAATCTTTCAAAAACACTTGGACGTCGAGTATCAATATTACATTTCGTAGTCTCAACTGTTATTTTTCTTATATTTGATTTTGACATATTATCACCATAAAACAATCGTATTTCGGCAATCGAAGTACATAACTGCAGTATGCAATTACTCTCTTTTTTTTATTTATTATACGAATTTAAACAATTTCAACGTTTTATCTAACAAATAATATAACTTTTTATAAGTAAAAAAAAAAAAAAAAAAATAAAATAAAAATTAAAACCTTAAAAAAGGTGCCCTTTAACCTAACCTAAATAATGTATGTTTACAACGTAAATTTAACTATCAATAAAAGCCCGTTATTATCAACAATTTGTTTTAAAAACAACAAAAAGATTATTACTACAATTAATATAACTAATTATTTTAAATTTACTTTTACGTTTTCACAATTTTTTCATCGCAATTCTTTTATTAATAAAAACTTTTTGACGCTGCTTTTAGTCACATACTTGTCACTTGTGGTGACATCTTGTGGTGTATTTTTAAAATTTATTCTCACGCTTGCGCGCTTTTTCGTAAAAAAAAAGAAATTCAAAAATTAAATAACATAATTTGTTTTTAAATAAATTAATTTGTTACAAAATTTGTTTTAAAGACAAATAATTAAAATTAATTTTTGGTTGTGAAAAATTTCGATCACTGTAAACTGGACTTTAAGACCGGTTCGCCAGGGTTGGATAGGTGAGATAACTTTGAAAGCGTTTAGTAATTTTGATTGGCTGAGGGAAATGACCGAGACCAATCAGGTTACGTCAAAATAAAATCAGAGTATTGGACATGTTTATTACCGCGGTTTTTTAAAATCAGAATATGAAACAATATTCCCTAAAAACTATTATTTAAAAAATAATTTTTAAAATAAAAATTAAGAACTTATACAAAATGACAAATAGTTTTATGGGGAAAAAATTGTTCTTTTTTTTTTTAAGAGAAAAAAGAACTTGATGCGTCATGTTTCGTGATTTGCAGTCTGCGCTCATACAACCTGTTCTATTGAATAAACCTTGGAATGAGCGACTCGCCCTGCTTTTCCATGTGCAGAACCGTGCATCCATTGTGGACGTGAATTCGTAGCAGTATGTGTCACGGTTTATTGAGTTATGCGGTGAATTGAGAACACTTTACTGTCAATTCTTATCACAGGGAATATCGTCATTTAATGGTAAATTTAATATAAATGTTTAGATAAAATTGAAAAAAAATTGAATTCATTGTTTTGATTGAAAAAAAAAATGACACGTTGTTCATATGTTAAGTGATTTGTAACACACATAAGCCACATATTTTCTTCCAACTAAAGAAGGTAGTGATGTGGTTAACGACCAAGACATTCTTGCCTTCAACTGGAAATTATAATCATCAGATATATTTTTAAATTTAAAACCGGTGTGTGAGAATTAGAATTTATATTATAAACAGTGAGATTTTTCATTCACGAAAATAAAAAAATAAAAGAATCTATATTATAATCGGATTCAATTTTTTGAAGAGGAAAACGTTCACCTATGACGTGTATAACCTATTGACGTAGACAGAATAACATAAACAAGAGTGACATTTTTCGAGGACACGGAAGGAAATATTTAAAGTTTTAAGGTACGATTATTTTTACACTATTTTTTTTTTTTTTTTTTTTTAAATATTTGATGTTATTTCGTAATCTTGGGGGAAAAAAAATGTGAAAGGAATTGGGACTCATCTTTTTAATTTTGACGAATTCCATATGTTCATATCTTTTTCTTTCTCAATACTTTTGTTTTTTCTAAATTTTTACATTTGAAACAATAGAAGTTGATTTGGTAAAAAAAATAATTTTTTTTTTATTTTGAGGTTATATGTTCCACGAATATAAAGAATTTAGTTTAAATATTAAAAGATCAAGGACATTTGAAAGGGTTTTTATTAAAATTCGAATATGTTGATTGAATATTTTTTAAAAAATAAAGATAAATAATTCAAGTCTAAAATTAAAACATTTTCTTTACTAATCAAATATAATAACGTGACACATGTGTGTCCGTCTGCAGTTTTAAATGAATTTATTTGCATAATAATTTTGGTACTGTTTTTTTTTTCTGCTTAACAAAGTATATTCACGAATCATCAAACTATTTGAATATTTATCACTGAAAAGCTTTGTGAAGCGTAAACAATACCTTTCAGTGCAAACTAAAAAAAAAAATGTTTTTAAACCGATAGTGAAGAACAGATTAAAATTTAATTTTTTTTTTGAATTCTTAATGCAAAACTTTTAAAATAATTCCGAAATAATTAAAAATAAAACAAATGATAAATGAAATTGTATTTTTAATTTTTTTTTTTCCGAAATTAAAAATAAAATATTTTTCCCGCGTGTAAATTATTGATTCTGAAATTAGAAATTAATTTAGAAAAATTGTTTTTTCCGAAATTAAAAATAATAAAATATTTTTCCCGCGTGTAAATTATTGATTCTGAAATTAGAAAATAATAATAGTTTCTTGGATTTTTATAAAGTCTTGAGTTTTATTTTACGATTCTGGTTTTAATTTTTTTATTTTTTAGTAGAACAACTGCAATTAGCCAATAAAACAAGGCGTTTGGACATTTAATTGCAAATTAAATGTTGAGGGAGTAAAGTAGGTGCATTTGGTGTGTAATTATCATGCGAGAAAATCGGTCATAACATTAGAGTCGCGTGACTACAATGAGAGACAGAAAATTATTCGTTACGGTCACTGATTGTATCTTCTTTTTCTCTCTCTTTTTTTTATTTCTCTTTCAAAACGATGTCACATTTTTACGATTCGTTTTGACGCAAATCGAAAGTGATACATTTCTCACACATATTCCCCGGGGGGGGGTGGAAAAAAAAAAAAAAAAAAAATTACATCCCACGCGAGAAAATAAGATTTCAATTTCTTTTTTATTAAAAATGACAAAAAAAATATTTATAATTTATCTAATTATGTTTAGCTTTTTAATTTTTTATTTCAATATTTAAAAATATTTTTCATTTGTATATTTTGTTGTTTGATAAATTTTATGCAGCACTTGCTCCTTTGATGTGCGCGCATAACTTTAGAACTCGTCCTAGATTCCTAGGATGCAACTGAAGGACAAGAAAAGAAAAGGCAAACTTACAATCTCGTTTGTAAACTTAGCCAATCATTGTATTTTATTCCTTTCAAAAGTTAAATTAAATTGTCTGCTTCTATAAGCTTGAAACATAAAGTATACTTTTAGTTTTGTTTAATATATATATATAAATAAGCTTTCATAATATTTTCGAATAGAAATTTAATTGACAAAAAATAATTTTTCTCTGATTTAAAAAAAAAAAAAACCAGAAAATCCTGTAGTGAGTCTTCCTCATTTTTTCTAATTAATTCACAGCAATTTTAATTTAAAATTAAAATTATTAGTTCCTTATTTTTCAAGTACGTTGAGAATTTTAATTTATTAAATTAATTTTCAGTAAAAAAAAATATTTTGGAAAAATTATTTTCTTTTTTGGAGAAAAAAGAAATTTGTTCTATGAGCCAAAAGTTTTGAACGTTCAAATGAACAAAATTTTTTTTTGCAAATTCTTTAAGTACGAATTTTATTATAAAATATTGTTTTAAAAATCTAAAAAGAAGTTATTTAATTTAATAGTTGTTTAATTTACTGTTTTAATTTACATTGACATCATAATTTTAATAATTTATAAATTAAAAAAAATATTTCGTTCATTTGAACGTTCAAAACTTTTGGCTCATTTTGTTCTTATAATTATAATTTCACATTTTTATAGTAATTTTCCGTTCCGATTTAAAATTATTTAATAAGCGTTGCATTATATTTTGAAATGGTGGGAGGAGAAAAAAGAAATTGTTTGAAGTGGTTAACAAATGGTGGCTACTACCCTGTCGTATCCAGAAAGCGATTAATTCACACGATTGCATCTGGACGACTATTTGCAACATAGCAGGTCGATATTTTCGCTGCAATGAGAAAATATATTTAATTCTTTTTTTTTTTATCGAGAGAAAGGAAGATTAGTTCATTTATTTCTGATTACACAATTGTTATAATATATTTTATAATTTCAGACACTTGGCTATTTTTTTTTCGTTTTTTCATAGCTTTTCTTTCGATTCTTTTTCTTTTTCTTCTTTTTTTCCTTCTTCAACTTTGTCTGAAATTTCTTCAAGATGAGCCACTTACTGGAAATATCGTATATCAATTTATTCCAACTTTTTTTTTTTTTTTTTTGTCAGCGAAACGATTCAGAATTGAGGCGGCAGAACAATCTTCTTCGGAGATTCTTCCGTTTTCTGCTCAATTTATTTTCTTATCAACAAACGTTTTCTCGCGTTGGGGAGATAGAAAAAATTGCCTCTTTTTTTTTTAAAGAACTTTTTTTTTGCAGAATTATTTTTTTGTATTACATTTTTAAAAAAATTATCTTGAATAGTTTTATGATTTCAGAGATTTAGATAAGATATCACAATGATAAGTTGACTTTAAAGATAGTTGACTATATATTTTTATTTTATTATTGGAAAATTTTCTTTTTTTTTACTATTTATAATAATTAGAAGTACTATTTATAAAAACTGCCGATATATATATATATATACATACAGGCCTCGGATTATACGACTTTTTCGACTATTTCCAACTTTTTTTCAAAAATACGACTTTTTTCGACTTATTTTAATAAAATGCAACTATTTCGACTTTTTTTAAATTTTTTAAAAAATTAAAAAAAAAATATATTTTTTTAAATTATAAAATGCAGATCTTCTTCATATCTTCTTTATTTCAATTATTTAACAAAAATTCATCACTAAATTAATTATTTTTAATAATTTTAATGAAATTCATCACAAATTTAATTATTTCAAATTATTTTTCAATTAAAATTTTCATAAAATTTAACAATTGTTTATAATTTTAAAAAATAACAAAAATAAAATTACCAAAAAATTTTAATTCAAAATCATAAATCAATTCAAAATCAAAGAAAATTCAATTATTTTCAAAAATTTCAATTTAAAATCAACTAAAATTCAAGTATTACCCAAAATTTCAATTCAAAATCAAAGAAAATTCAATAATTATCCAAAATTTCAATTCAAAATTAATTATTATCAAAATTTTCAATAAAAAATCAACTAAAATTGAATTATTATCCAAAATTTCAATTATAATTCAATTATTTTCAAAAATTTGAATTTAAAAGCTTCTAAAATTTAATTATTTCTAAAAGTTTCCATCGAAAATTTTTTGAAATTTAACAATTTCAATTATTATAACTCTAAGGAAATTAAATTATTTTTAACTGTTTTTATAATATTCTTTGAAAATTCAACTATCTGAAACCATTTTTTAATGAAAAATGTTTTTCAAATTATTATATTTTTGTCCGCAATTTCTAATAAATTTTTTAGTGAAATCATCAAAAAATTTTAAATTAAAAATCACTTCAAGTTCAATTAATTTTAAAAATCTTAATTGTAAATCTTTGAAAATTCAATTACATTTAAAAAATGTTATCTGAAATTATTTGATAAATTATTTTTAGTTCTGTAAAATTTAATAATTGGCTGAAAATTAACAAAATCTTTTAAAATTCAATTATTTCTAAAAATTTCAACTTTAACTATTTCAAAAGTATTATTGTTTAAAAAAAAAATTTTATTTAAAAATCTGTAAAATATTTTTGTTAAAATAAAAAAAATCGATTTTTTTTTGGAATATAAATCAACTAAAACGACATTTTTTGTGCCTTTAAGTCGATCCGAGGCCTGTATATATATATATTGTATTTATTTAGAAAAAAATTCTTTTTTCTATTCGATTTTTATTAAATTGAATTTGCGTTTCATTAATAATTATAATTAAAAAAATATTTGTTTGATTTTTTTAATTTTGTTTTGATTTTTCTTGCAGGGGAAACAGAAATTTCAATCAATTTTGGTTTATATAATATAATTCCTGTGGAAGTAGGTTAATAGGGATTAATAGCTCGTTATAATAGAGGATAAAATTTCCTTTGATTTCCATTAAAGCATTAGCAACATCCTTGACTAAGGTAATTACGAAGGCTGCGATACGCTGTGGATCCCTTTAGTAGCCAACCTGTTTCGAACTATATATATATATATTCTTATACACAAAACGATTGAAATTCCAAGCCAAACGAATCATCTCCCTCTTTTTTTTTTTTTCTTTTTTTACTCTTCTCTTGCACTTGAAGTAGCCTCTCAAAAAAAAAATTTTATTTTATAAAAATAAAAAATAACCCCTCGGATTTTTTTTTTTTAAATTGATTTTATTTGTCCAAAAAAAAAAGTATTTTTCGTATTAGATTTTCAAGTTTAAAAACCTTTATCGATTTTCTGATACTCTCTCTCTCTCTCAGTAGCAATATAAAATATATATCTTTTCTGATATCTGCTCCCTCGACGATTTCGACGAGAGAATTTGTCTGTAATATGATATCTGGGAATATTGGAGAGAAAAACTGAGAATTTATCCGAGAAATCTTTGGTTGTTTTTTTTTTCCTTTTTTTTTGTCTTGAAGAGCCTCTTCGCAGTTATTACTTTTATATAGAATATGAAGGATCATGTTTTTATTTTGCATATATTTGAATATATTTTTTTGCAACTGAAAAACATATTGAAATTTTGTATTTATAATTTCGTATTTTAATTTTCTGCTAAATTATTTATACTTTGAAATTATCTCACGTTCTAAAAACGTATGTGTTAATTATTTATAGAGTGCGTGAAAATAAGTTTTAAATTTAATGTCGACAATGTTAAATTCTTCATTAAGTTGAAATTAACTGTAACTGTAACTACAGCTTTGTGTCAGGAATATCTATTTCCTTTTCTCTCTTCAAGAGAGAGAGAGAGAGAGAAAGAGAGAGATTTCTAATTTACTGTATAAATCCATTCTTGCACCGAGTCAACTTCTGACATCTGAATTTCGTGTCTGGAATTTCGTGAGAGAGAGAATATATTTACAGAGAAATACGAACCTTGACAGAAAATCAAAAACGACATGACACACCCCTTAAAGAATTTTTTTTGAAAGAAAAAAAAATGTTTCTTTTGTTCCTTCAAAAGAAAGTTTTATACACTTTTTCCTTGAGAAATTGAAGTAAAAAATCTTCGCAAGTCATTATTGGTGAAAATTCTCTTTTGCACATTTACCTGATTAATCGATACTTCACAGAAGTCACGCTTCACCATTTTTTTTCTACTTTCCGAACAGAAATCAATAAATTATTTTTTTTCTCTCTTTATTTGTAAAAAAAAAAAATTTTTTTAACAATTTAAAAAAAGGAAAAACAATTTCGTTTTAATTTTTTCACATTTTCCAGAAATGGAAATTTATTTTTCCCGTGCTGCAGGAAATTGCAAAATTATTTTTTGAAATTAAAAGTGGCGCACAGTTTGACAAAATTGATGATGTCATGAAAAATCAATGTTATAAAATGAGCAAACGAATCCAGGAAATTTTATATGCACTCTTAAAACCGTTATTCACAACTTGGAACAATTGTCGACGTCAAGTTTTTTTTTCCAATTGGCTTCATTATAAATACTTTTTGAGTAGGCGATGATGATAAATCAACTTTGAAGAAGTGCAAATAATTCTTGACATATATTTAAAGAAGAAGAAAAATTTTTGAAATAAAAGGAGAAGAAAATTTTTTTAATTAAATAAAAGAAAAAAGAAAATAGAAAAAAGGTGCAATTATTTTTGAAATGGCAAAACTTCCTTCATGGAAGTTGGAAATTTTAAAGAGGAAATTATTTTTTTTTTTGAAATAAAAGGTCAAAAATAAATGCTGATTAAACTGTAATTGTTTTGAGATCACACAAAACGAATGTAACAATGAAAAAGTGATTACGTCTGGACTTTGAATTTATATATATACAAAATGTCACGAAAAAGAGAGAAGTTACTTCAGAAACTAATCACTTTCTACCTGTCTCTGACTAGTCGACCATTAACCTTCTTCTTCTTCTTCTTCTTGCTCCAAAAGAAACTTTGCCTATTTCGCCAAGTTATAAAATCTTATTATGAAATTTACGGCCAAAAGAGTTTAAATGGAAAATCAATTATTTCACCCGATTTTATTTACAAAAATGATAATATATTTTTTTGAAAAAATTACAATTACCATAGTAATTTTTATTTCTGTATTATACACAATTTGATAAACAAAAATCTAAAATTGTTTTTCAAAAATTAAAAAAAATTGGATTTAATGTAAAATAGAATTGAATAATTAAGAATAAAATTTTTTTAAAAAATTATCTTAATTCAAAAATTTGATAAGAAAAATTGATATGGAAAATTGTACAGCTGGAAAAATATTTTTGAATATAAAAAAAATAACTCGCGGAAAATTTCAGTACAAAATTTTGAAATATTTATTCGCTGAGAAATAGAATTGAAATATATGGGAAGAAAGAGAAAATGATTTACTGGAAAAACGAATAAATCTTCATTCTTACAATATTTTTTATTGGTATTTTACATATATATATATATATACTATATATTTTACTTCCGGAATAAGAACCATGGTTCGTGCTCATAAAAGCTGCACGAGCTATATAAGTGAAATAATAAACACAATTTAAGATGCTCTAGTGAATATTCGAAAATGTAAAATTTTGTCGTCTTGCATATTTTTTATTCTGACCATAGCGAAAAAAAAATTCACCTTTAAAAAAATATAGTTATTAATAAATTATTTATAATTTATTTAATACAAATTTTTAATTTAATACGTAAAAAGTGAAATAATTTTATTATTTTAATATTAATAATTAATAATTAATAATTTATATTTCATTAAATTTTTTTAATTCGAAATATCAAATTTTTGATATTTAAAAAAATAATTCCACTCGAATAATTCTAATTTTCAGTGGAAATTTTTATAAAAACTTTTTTTTTTAGAATTGAATATAAATTTATATATGGATTTTAAATCCTTACTAAACGGAAATCCGAGAAGTGAAGAACTAGATAGTAATATAGAGGATTACATTTAATTCTGCGACACATCCAATTTTTGCATAGACCAAATTCCCAGGAGTTCAAATATTTATTTTCAGTTATAAAAAATTAAATATAAAAAAAATACTAAAACCTAATTTTTTTAGTTTTTATTTTTATTTTTTTTTTACAAAATATTGAAAATTAAAAAAAAAATACTTAAAACTTATTAGTTTTTAGTAAATTAAATAGTAAATGGTAAATTAAATTTTAATTTTCAGTTTATTTTTTATTTTCTTTTATTCAAATTTATGAATTAAAATCCAAAATTTAATGAACTTGAAAATTAATTTTTCCAATTGGCGGTGAAAAAATTGGATAAAAAAAAAACCCCCCGCATAGAATGTAAATTATGTATATTCTCTTTGTTATAAAGTGTGGAAAGGTCCGGGATGAGAACGTGTAGCTTCTTTCACTTTGAAGGCAATATTATATTTCGATTTTCGCCAAAGAGAAATGCATGTAACCGACAAGAACTTAATGGCTCTCGAGGTCATTTGACTCAACAGAAACGATTCACGTGATCGAACGATGCTACTTAAAAAAAAAAAAAAGAGAATTCTGCCTCGGAATTTAAAAAGGATCCACAATTATTATTTTTTTTTTTTTTAGAAAATTTCAACGATAAGGCACTTGCCTCGAGACCGATAAACATTTTCATCCGGTTGAATATCAATTTTTTTTTCCTCGAAACAAAACTGTTTTTTAATTTAATTTAATTTTTAATTAATTTTAATGATTAATTTAATTTTTAATTAATTTTAATGATTAATTTAATTTTTAATTAATTTTATTTTTATTCCTTAATTAATAAAAATAAAATTAAATATAGTTTATATATTGTCGAATTTCCCAACGAGATTTCGTAAAATGAATTTCTTAAAATGAAAACTTTGTGTGATCAAAGAGGTAAATGAAAGATTTAATTCGCAGTGTGGCTGTGAGATGTGGAAATTTTTTTGGAGAGATAAATATTCGTTGAAAAATTTTTTTTTGGTTAGCGAGAGAGAAACGTGCGCTTTTGTTCGTTTCAGTGAACATTTCATTTTGCGGTTTATTTTTTTTTTCTTGCAGACCCGTTGCACCAGCAGTCTCTGCCACATGCACACGATCTAACACTGATTCTATAGTTCTATGACTAACGGCTAACAATAAAATCTCTGCCATTGACGAATATTATAGTCTTCTTGCAATTAGTTGCGGTTGCAACTTTGGTTTGTGGTTTGTTGATCGCATTTTCAACAAATTTAGGGAAAAAAAAAAGATTCAATTCAGAGACACTGTTTTCACTTTTTATTCAACACAGTAGGGCACTGGGTTTGTTTTTTTTCCAAAGGAACGAAATTCAGAAAAAAAAATACAAAATAATTTAATACAAATTTTATAATTATGTTTTTAACCAATTTGTTTTGTTTCAGGTGTTCTGTGATTTTTTTTACACATGGAATCTTGTGCCGACAGTAGCGAAGGATAATTACATTAATTGGTGAGTTAAATAATAATTGTGACGAAAAAAAAAAATTTTCCCTTTTGAAAAAAAATTTCACTTTGAAAAAAATTATTTTAATTAATTTCAATTAATTAAACATAAAAGTTTGGGAGATCAAAAGAATTTTGATATTAAATATTTAAATTTTAAATGGAAAAAAAATAAAAAGTTTCGGATAGTAAAAATATTAAAAATCAAATATTTGATTTGTAATTTAATTATTCAATTAATTAATTTTCGCTTCTTCAAATAGAATCAGCTTTTTTTTCTCGCTAAATTATCTTGATTTACTCAACGGATATACATTGAAAGTAATTATAAAAAAAAAGAATGAAAATGAATAATATAAAAATATTTAAATGTCTTGCGGGTTTAATTCAATCCTTAGAATGTGGATATTGACCTATACCAAGAAAAGAGAAATAATCATTCGAGTCAAGTGCATCAGGGTGTTACGAAATGATTACTCACTTATTTCACTTTCAGTCTCTTATATATTAAATTTAACTATACACATATATATTTCACGGAATTTTGTAGAAAAAAAATTGTCTTATTTTACATATTATCGTTAGCCTTCTTCTTTTTTTTTATCAGCAAAATTATATTGCATTTTATTTTTAAATTTCTTTTTTTACAATATTTAGATAAAAAATGAATAGCCGGATATCTCACGTTTTTTTTTCTTTAGTAATTTTGTTATTAAGGTTTCTTTTTAAAAATGCCAACGTTAAAGATGGTGAAAAAAAATTTTTTTTTTAAATAGTCTGGAAAAAGACGAATCTATTTAGAAATTTAAAAAAAAAATTGAAAATATTTTTACTTTAAATTATAATTGTAAATATTAATTTTTATATTTTAGTCTTTAATTATAATTTAAAATATAAATATTTTATTTTTAATTAATTTAAAATAATATAATAATATTATTCATATACTAAGTCATGGAAAATTAATTAAATATATAGTAGACGATTTTAATTGAGATTGTAATTATTTTAAGGGGGTTGAGGGAGGGAATTAATTAAATTAGAAATATGTAGACTTCAATTAATTTGTAACTGTTTCTATAACAATTAAACATTTTATCGAAGAAGGGGGGAAACAATTTTTTTTTTTGTACTTCGCGTCACTAATAACGAATTAAACCCTTGTTTAGAATTTTTTTCTTTTTTTTTTTTTTGATGATATGGTCAGTGCACGTCAAATGTATTTTATACTGGTATTATACCCTTCTTCCGCCGTATGGTACAGTAGCCGTTATTTTCACAGTTTACCGCTAATCATTCGGCCACGTAACGTCTTAGTATAGTCGATACAAATCTAGAACTCGAAGAATTATTTTCATTTACAATCAGAAATTCCATTCAATTTTTTTTTTATTTTCCATCATTTCATTAATTTTATTAGTTTTCCGAAAGAAATTGTTATTTTCATTTAATCATCATTACCGTGAGGATTTTATTATTCTTTTTCACTATTTTATTATTTTTTTTAATCGACATTTTTTATTAGTATACTAGCAAAATTAAACGCGCGCCAAATTGAGTATTTAATTGTTTGTTATAAAGAAATTAAAGATTAATATTATCAATAATAATTTAATTTATTAGAATATTATTACATATTAAATGATAATAATGAAAATTATATGTTTACAGGCCTCGGATTATATGACTTTTTCCGACTTTTTACAAAAATACGACTTTTATCGACTTATTTTAATAAAATGCGACATTTTTTTTTACATTTGAGAAAAAATGTAAATAAAATACATTTTTTTAGTATAAAATCTAGATCTTCTTCAGATCTTCTTCAAATTCAATTATTTAACAAATTTTGAACTAAAATGATTCTTCTCTAAATTAATTATTTTTAATAATTTTAATGAAATACATCACAAATTCAATTATATCAAAATTATTTTTCAATTAAAATTTTTATGAAATTTAACAAATTGTTTATAATTTAAAAAAATATATCACAATAAAATTGAATTATTTTTTAAAAATTTCAATTCAAAATAAACATTATTACCCGAAATTTTAATTCAAAATCAATTAAAAATCCAATAATTATCGAAAATTTTCAATTCAAAATTTAATTATTTACCAAGTTTTTAATTTAAAATGAAATAAAATTCAATTATTTTCTAAAATTTCTATTCAAAATTAATTATCCAAAATTTCAATCAAAAATGTACTTAAATATTAAATTATTATCCAAAATTTCAATTAAAATTCAATTATTTCCCAAAATTTTCAATTCAAAATGAACTGAAATTCAATTATTTTCCAAATTTAAAATCAAAATTAAATTTCATTATTCTCAAAAATTTGAATTCAAAATTAATTGAATTTTCAATAATTTGAATTTAAAAGCATCTAAAATTTTATTATTTCTAAAATTTTACATTGAAAATCTTTTTTTTTTTGAAATTTAATAATTTCAATTATAACTCTAAGGAAATTCAATTATTTTTAACTATTTTAATAATATTCTTTGAAAATTCAACTATCTGAAACCATTTTCCAATTAAAAATAAATTTCAAATTATTGTATTTTGTCCGCATTTTCTAATAAATTTTTAGTTAAATCATCTAAAATTTTAATTAAAAATCACTTAAAGTTTCAATTAATTTAAAAAATCTCAATTTTAAATCTTTGAAAATTCAATTAAATTTAAAAAATGTTTTCCAAAAATTGTTTGATAAATTATTTTTAGTTCTGTAAAATTTAATAATTGTTTTTGAAAATTAACAATATCTTTTGAAATTTAATTATTTTTAAAAATTTCAACTTTAACCCTTCGAAAAGGATTATTATTAAAAAAAAATTTTTTTATTTAAAAATTTGTAAAATATTTTTGTTAAAATAAAAAACAAATCCACTTTTTTTGGAATATAAATCGACTAAAACGACTTCTTTTTGTTTCTTTAAGTTGATTCGAGGCCTGAGTTTTTATAATTAATAAGTAATCGTTGGCCCCTGGTACCTTAAAAATTAATTTTTAAAAATAAATTTTTTTCAAATTACTATCTTGTACGAAATTTCCTGGCGCATCTTTTTTCTCATCATAAATTTTTTGTATTTGTATACAATTTTTGAATCAATATACAAGTTTAAAAAAAATTTCGTTGGTAAACGTTGTGTACTTAAGCTTCGTGAATTGAATTTTCGAATTTGGAATTTTAAAGAAACTTATTTCGAAATTTGGAAACACAATTATACAACTTTGGCAAAAATGAGAAAAAGAATTTTCAAAATTTGACACGTCATAAGATTACTATTCAAAAAAACACGTGAAATCAGAAAAGTCCAACTTCAAGTTAGGACAGAAAATATAATTATTTTTTTTCATTTCTTCGAATTTTTTTTTCATGCTACGAAAATTAATTTGATAAAAAAAAATTTTTTTTTTTCAACGCTGGATTTGTACGGTATCGCGAATTTGAGATGGGAATGAAAAGGAAACGGTTCGCCGACTACTTAACGGACTTCCGTTTTAATTTCCCCGCTAATTGACGTTTCGCACCGGTTGATCTTTCTGCCAATGGAAAAAAAAAAAAAAAAAAATTGGTAAACGATACGAGAGTATTTAAAAAAAAATAATAAATGACTCATTAATTCTCGCAGACGAATTTTCCATCTGTAACATTTGCCAATTATTCACAAAAGGTAGAAGCACAAATTCAAATTGTTTTAATACTCGTTTTATAACCATTTCTCGTTATCTTTCTGCCCTCTGAACCATTTGATCATATTCTCAGGAAAAAAAAAAAAATTTGTCGCGCGAGAGGGAAAAATATTTATTTGAACGCAAAAGAAGGAAAAATTCATTTTCTCGTATTTACCGCGTTTAAAAAAATGGTATTGTTTTTTTTTCATTAAAATTTTTGCAACGTGAATTGTAAACTAAAAATAGTAAATAAAATTTTTGAAAATTAAATAAAATAATTCTACTTTTTGAAAATCTATTTTTAAATGAATTGTGATAATGAGATAATGATAATAATTTATTTATAAGTTGCAGATGACACAGAGGAAATAGTTGAAACATTTCAAACGTTTCTAACTAACTTCCTTGTGCGCCTAAGTGCACAGTGGCATTAGTAAACACTAATCTACTAAATTGCTTTTAGCTCAAGTTCAAACAACGCCTCAACTCTCAGTTACCGTGTGGCAAACTTTAGTTTCACACATACTTATCCTTTGACGTTTATATTTCATTCAAATGGAAACCACAGAAAGATGTAATAATGAAAATTTAAATCAATTCCACTGTGAATGAGAATGAATCGTAAATTTTTTTTGTTTTGAAAAATTCCACTTAAAAATTAACCACTTTCTTCAAAAAAAAAAAAAAAATTCTACAAGAATTAAGTCGAATTTTTTTTGTTGGCAAATTTACAGAGAATTTCGAATTATTTTTTTTTGATATATTTACTGAAAATACATGAAAGGATTCAGAAAAGAGAGGAAAAAGGAAAAAAAAAAAAAAAACAAGAGTCGCTCGACTTTTGTAATAAGCGAGACTCGTGCTACCATGAAAATTTCCGATAATGTCAGATCCAGTTATAACCCGTTTTCAACAAACTTTTTAACTTTTCAACTTTTCACGAAAATTTTCGCTAGAGAGAGAGAGAGAGAGAAATTATATCCGATAGTGTTATCAGCTTCAATTACTTTCTCAAATCATTGGAAACATAAGTCTTAATCAAATCTCTTTCAATCATATATTGTCAAATTGAATTTGCAGAAATTTTAATTGCATTATACTCTATCACTGGCAATCAATATTTAAAAACAAAAAAAAATACAAATTCTGGTTCAATAAGACGCGAGTGATATTTCATTAATATTTCCATTTTTTATTTCGGAGGATTGTAAAAAAAAAAAAATTTAAATCGCCTTTTTTCATCAGTTATATAAGTAATTGAAAATTTTTTTTTTTCTTTGACAAAATATTCTCTATTTTATTTTATTAATTATTTTATTTTAATTTAATTAATCTCGACTGGTGCGTCAAACTCGGGATCTCGATTCCTCTTGCCATCACAAATAACTACAAATTACAATACAATTTTTTTTTACGAGCAAGTTGTAAAAAGGGGAAATTAGTTTCGTTGGATTGATAAAATAATGGTAATAAAATAAAAATTTTACTCAAAAAAAAATATTGGGGAAAATTTTGTGGTTTTTGTATATATTTCAAGTGCGTCATATTATTAGAATAATGTTTTTCACGCTCGATTGAATTAAACAAATATAATATATATAGGAACCATTTCGTGAATATTTATATAGTCGGATGGTAACATCGTGCAAATGTACATTTCACATCGTCGTATATGACACCAGACAATGCATTGCTTTCTCAACTTGACTCGCATACTCAGTAGCAAGTTAAGCTTTACAAAGCTGCTGCTGTTACTATATTTGAATTTTATCATATCACACAAAATAGTAGAGTGAGAGAGAGAGAGAGAGATTTATGTTCTAAATTTCCTGCAAGTTTGCATTTAATTGATAATTTTCTCTCGTCTAATTTTTCATTATAAACTATATAATATTTATCTACGAAAAATTTTTTCTCTAATAAAATATATATTTCTCTTCAATAACTTAGTTATTAATTTTCGTTTGCAATTTAATAAAAATTAAATCTCGTAATTTATAAAATAAATAATAAAATCTCGTTTAAATTTGTATGGAATTTATAATTTCAATTAATTATTCACGATTTTTAATTCGCAATTTGTTTAATTTTATCGGGATATGATTTTTTTATATTTTTCTTTTTTACCTCGAACCAAATTTGAATGCAATTTTTTTAAAATTATAATTGTTTCAAAAAAAACAGATTTTAATTTTTTTTTATCGAAAAAAAATTTTTTCTAATAAAAAAATATTTTTTCAATTATTAAATTTAGAGATAAAATAAAATTTGTTTTTTCTTTAACTTTGGAAGATTTGGCAGCTTATTGAATTTTTAGTTTTGAAATTAAAATAATTACAAGACGTGTCTTAGAAAGAAAACAAAATTTTTTTGTTTTGCAAATGAAATAATTCGTCTTTATTTTCCATGAAGAAATTTTTCGTGTTTAATGAGAAAAATTGATAATTAAAAAAAAAATTCTTTTTGTATTTTGTTTTGCAACTTGATAAAAGTTTAATCTTGTGTTTTTATATTCGTCTGGAATTTATAATTCAAATTAATTTTTTTCAATATTTACCCGGAACCAAATTTGATTACATTTTTTTTCTTAAATATAATTGTATTAAAAAAAGAAAAATGATTTTAATTTTTCTTTGTCCACGAAAAATTTTTTCCAATTATGAAATTTAAAGATAAAATAAAATTTGTTTTTCTATAATTTTTTTTGAAAATTTGGCAGCTTTTTAGTCTTGAAATTGTAATAGTTACAAAAATATCTTATAAAAAAAAAAAAATAATTTTCCATGAAATTTTTTCCATGTTTGAGAAAAAATTGATAATTAAAAAAGAATTCTTCTTATATTTTTCTTTTCCAACTTGATAAATGTTTTCATATTCGTGTGGAAAACTTTGTAATTTCAATTAATTATTCATGACTAATTCGCAATTTCTTTAATTTTTAAACATAATTTTTTTTCGAATATTTACCTGTAATCAAATTTGATTTTTATCATTATGTTTTAATAAAATAAAAAAATTATTTTTAATGTTCACAGGAGGAGAATACTTTTTTTGCGAGTGATGATGATTGAATTAATGTGAGAATTTCTTTGAATCGTGAAATATAATAATCGAATGTCTGCTAAAGTTGAAGCAGACTTGTTGAATAATCTGGATCTAAAGACCAGGTGATGAGCTCAGTTTGGTGGGGAGCCTCAAGCATAAAACGAGACTCCAAACATGTTTCGCTCAAAGATAAGAATTCACACATGCCAAGTGATTCTGTTGACCTCGCTTGTATGGTTCCTGTTGGATGTGATGATTTTAATGTTCTATTCAGATTGTATCGGTGGTTCAGGATGGAATTGTCCTGACACTAGGCAAACTGATGAGCCAATTGCAGCTGCCATTATTCATGGACAGGAATTAATTGTTGAAATTGATCCAATAACAAATATGCGAAAGAAATATAATGAAAATGAAGTATTTAAATGGAAACCAGCTAAAACAGTGAGAGGACGTCCTGGTGCTCCTGGTGAAAGTGGATCGGCTGTTCATATACCCGCCGATGATGAGGCAAGACAGCAGGAACTTTTTAAATTAAATCAATTTAATTTAATGGCAAGCGATATGATTTCGTTGAATCGTTCATTAAAAGATGTTCGATTAGAAGATTGTAAGAAAAAAAATTATCCCGAATATCTTCCAAAAACTAGTATTGTTATTGTTTTTCATAATGAGGCATGGAGTACATTGTTGAGGACTATTTGGTCTGTTATTAATCGTTCACCAAAAAATTTACTACAGGAAATTATTCTCGTTGATGATGCCAGCGAACGAGGTGAGTTTGTCTTTTTTTTTTTTAATAATAAAGAAGTAACCGAAGCGAGCGAGATTAATTTTTGCTTAATTTGCATTTTCTATAAGTCAGTTATGAGAATTTTAAATCACGATGAATAAGTTTAGAAAAATTTTTTTAATTATTTCTATAGCAGGGTTGGGGAAATCAGAAAAATTATGTAAAAGTCAGGGAATTTTATAAAAAGTACTGGAAAAATATTCAATTTCTAAAAATACTACGAAAATTACAATTTTAATTAATTGAATTTTCAAAGAATTTCATTAAAATATTGAAAAAAAATTAATTTGAAATTAAATTTTTGAAATAATAGAATTTCAGAAGATTTTTAATTAAAAATTTAGAAATAATTGAATTTGGAAGAGTTTGATTTAAAATTTTTAGAAATAATTGAATTTCAAGTGATTTTAAATTGAAATTTTTATAAATTTGAATTAATGAATTTTTTTTACAAATTTTAGAAAAAAATTGAATTTCCGAGGATTTTTAATTAAAATTTTAGAAATAATTCAATTTGCAAGAGTTTGATTTAAAATTTTTAGAAATAATTGAATTTCAAGTGATTTTAAATTGAAATTTTTATAAATTTGAATTAATGAATTTTTTTTACAAATTTTAGAAAAAAATTGAATTTTCGAGGATTTTTAATTAAAATTTTAGAAATAATTAAATTTGGAAAAGTTTGATTTAAAATTTTTAGAAATAATTGAATTTTAAGTGATTTTAAATTGAAATTATTATTAATTTGAATTAATGAATTTTTTTTTACAAATTTTAGAAAAAAATTGAATTTCAGAGGATTTTTAATTAAAATTTTAGAAAAATAATTTTTGGAAGAGTTTGATTTAAAATTTTTAGAAATAATTGAATTTCAAGTGATTTTAAATTGAAATTTTTATAAATTTGAATTAATGAATTTTTTTTTACAGATTTTAGAAAAAAAATGGAATTTTAGAGAATTTTTAACTGAAATATATTCAAAATAATTGAATTTTTAATGGATTTACAGTTAAGATTTTGAGAAATAATTGCATTTTTTAAGATTTTAAAAATTATAATTTTATTGTAAATATAAAAACATTAATTAAAAAACGATTTAAATAAATGAATTTTTGAAGAATTGAATACAAAACTGTTTTAATATTAATATTTAATTATTAATTTATATTATTAATATTTTATATTTCAACAGTAATAATTTTTGAAATAATTAATAATTAATTATTTCAACGGTTTTAATTCATTTTTTTTTAAATTAAATTTTTTAAATCGTTTTGCTTAATTAAATTAAACAAAGTATGATATAGATAAAAATTTGGGGAAAAAATTTTCTATTAAATTAACTTTCAATTAATTATTCAATTACTAATTGAATAAGAAAGAGTTCGAGTTAAAAATTGGAATTAATAAAATTTCAGAAAATTTGAAATTCAAACTTTCATAAATTTTAATTGATACAATTTTTTCTGCAAACACTTTAAAGAATAATAGAATTTTAGAGAATTTTTAATAAAAAAAAAAAATTGTATTTCCCTGAATTGTTGAAAAACTGTCTTAAAGTGATTTAAAAAAATTAATTTAGCGAAGAACTTAAAAAAAAAATTTTTTTAAATAATTAAATTATACAGAATTTTAGAAAATTTTCGAATTAAAAAATGTTTTAAAAAATTTAATTTTTGATCAATATTGAAAACTGCTTTAAATCAGGCAATTTTCGAAGAATTTGTTTTAAATTATAGAAAATAATTAATTTTGCAAACAATTCAGGTTAATGAATTTTTTTTAATAATTTGATTTTAAAAAATAAAAAAATTATTGAAAACCTTTTGAAATATTTTCATTAGGGTCAGGAAAAGAAATTTTTATTTTACCTAGAAATCAGGAAAAAAAATATAATATTTTTGTGTCAACCCGGTATAAAATAGAAATAATTTATTATCTAATAAATATTTTTAATTATTTCTTGGAAATTGTAAATAATTGTCATCTTTTTATTCCATTTTTTTTTTAAATGTCATTTAAATTTTTATTGAAAGTTTGTAATGAGTTTTGAGAGTTACTTTTATTTCTTCTTTTCTTTCTAGCCCATTTAGGGAAGGATCTTGAGAAATATGTAAGAACTTTACCAGTTTCAACTTCTGTTTTGCGCACAGAAAAAAGATCAGGACTTATAAGAGCGAGATTGCTTGGCGCAAAACATGTAACGGGCCAAGTAATTACATTTTTGGATGCTCATTGTGAATGCACTGAAGGTTGGCTCGAGCCACTTCTTGCAAGAATAGAAAATGACAGGACAACAGTTGTTTGTCCCATCATTGATGTTATTAGTGACGATACTTTTGAATATATTACAGCAAGCGATATGACATGGGGTGGATTCAATTGGAAACTTAATTTTAGATGGTAAGTTCATTTTTATTCTCCCCCTCAAAAAAAAAAAAAAAAAAAATTAAAATAAATGAAATTTGATTTTGAATATTAAAGTAATTTTTATTTTAAAAAATTAATTTAAATTTAAATTAAAAAGAAAAAATTAGTGAAATATCATTAATTTTTTAATTATATTTTTAAATGTCAATTTTTTTCAAGACATTAAAATTTCATTCAATTCAGTTTAATAAAAGTGTCCTCATTTTTTTTTTTTTTTTGCACTATTAATGAATAATAGAGGAATATCTGTAAACCATTTTTAAATCGTTAAAACGTAAATCGATTTTCTTTTATGACACACCGTAATCTAAATGGTAGAGCGTTAATTATATTTTCAAATCACTAGAAACTGCTTTATGAAAATATTGATTAAACGCAAATTTTCCTCTCTACTTTTGTCAATTTTTTTCATGTTGCAATTTTTCTTATGTAGAAAAATATTTAATTTTTTAAAAAACAAATTTTTTTCCTACTTTTTGAATCTTTTTCCTAAATTGTTTTTTTTTCAAAGCGAAAATTAATTATTTTTTCTTGCAAATAGGTATAGAGTTGCTCAAAGAGAAATGGACAGGAGAAATAGAGATAGAACAGCACCGCTTCATACACCGACAATGGCAGGTGGATTGTTTGCCATCGATAAAGAATATTTCTATAATTTAGGAGCGTACGATGAAGGAATGGATATTTGGGGCGGGGAAAATTTGGAAATGAGTTTTAGAGTAAGCATTTTTATATTCTACTTTATTTTTTTCTCTTCAATAATTCTCGATTTAACTTATTTCAGAGTTGATAAATTTTGTCCCGCATCTATATTTTATACTAAAACACAGTAAACAAGAGTGTTTGCTTCCAAATTTATCGATTTCCCTCTGCTTTATAAACTGAATGTGTTTCTATATCTAATTAAAAGCCCCTCGAGTTATATACTTTCAGTTGAATGATTTAATCATTCAAATTTTTAAAAGATATTTTCAATATTTTAATTTTTTTTAAATTTACTTTTCATTCAGTAAAAAATATTCTATTCTAAATATTAAAAAAAAAAAAATACAAATTTTTCAGTTATTTAAAAAAAATATTTTTAATTTTCTAAAATTTTTAATTCTGAAACATTTTTAATTTTTTAAAATCTTAAATTAGCATTTTTTTTCTTGCCAAAATTAAACATGTACTAATCCATTTTTTCAATGTAGGATTGTCGACTAAAAAAAAATGTTTTACTTTTTTTTTGTTATCAATGACAAAAATTAAAAATTACAATGTAGAAAGTTACTTTTAGATTTGGCAGTGTGGCGGTACTTTAGAAATCAGCCCTTGCTCACATGTTGGGCACGTATTTCGCGACAAGAGTCCCTATACATTTCCGGGTGGAGTCAGCAAGATCATTCTTCATAATGCAGCACGAGTAGCTGAGGTCTGGATGGACGAATGGAGAGGCTTTTACTATGCTATGAATCCAGGTTAGATCAATTTTCTTGAGTGCGTTTTTTTTCTTTTTTTTTTTCATTCGCAAAAGCTTCGTTTTAATAATACTAACGCTAAAAAACTATTGTCGCGCGCTCAGTGGATTTTCTCTACAATATATTATTTTTATTTTTTTCTCGAATCTCTTTAAAACGTGCTTGATCGTTGCATTTGCATAAAGTATTGAAAAATTTCTATAAAAAAAAAGGCGCTTTTTTATATTTGTAAAAAGTTCCTTTCATTTTAAGGAACATTTAGTAGAAATTTTTTTAAAAATTTTTTCTTCTAATTTAATTATTTTAGTAAATTAAATTTCCCCTTTAATTATTTTTATATTTCGTTTTTTTTTATTATTTTTCATTCAACTTCATTTATTACTATTATTTTTTTTATTTAATTTCTTTTTAATCTTAGAATGCAATTTTTAAGGAAAATTTAATGAATGGTAATAATTGTCGATTGTAGTAAATTTTGTTTATTTTTTTGTGTGGGGGTGATTGGAATAAGCTTTTTTGACGGGTATCTGATAGTTATTAAAGAAAATTATTTTTGTAATAATTTGTTTGAATAAGTGTTTTTTTTTCTATTTATCTGATTCTTTTTTTTATTTTTCGATATTTAAATAATTGGCTATTACAATTTATTGATGAACGAAGAAAAAAAAATTGCGCTTTTGTAATGATTTTAGTATTTTTAATTGCTTATTTATTAGGCTGGCTCTATTATTCAATTTTATTTCCTTTTATGTATTAGGATTTATTTTTCATTCCATTGGAATGTATTTTTGTATTATTTACATTAAATTTATTTTTATATTATTTATTTTATTGTTACTAAATAGTGATCAGGCCTCGGATTATATGATTTTTTCTGACTTTTTTTTTGACTTTTTTAAATACAATTAGACTTTTTTTTTTTTACAAATTTTTCTTTAAACAAAATACATTTTTTTTAAATATACAATTCATTTATTCTTTATTACAATTATTTAACAAATTTTGTAACTAAAATTTTTTCTCTAAATTAATTACTTTTAATAATTTTAATGAAATTCAACAATTTTTTATAATATTTTTCAAAAATTCAATTATTTAAAAGCGATTTTTCAATTGAAAACTTTTGAAATTCAATTTTTGTCTGTAATTTCTAATCAAAAAATTCAATTAAAAATCATTTGAAGTTCAATTAATTTCAAAAATCTGAATGATAAATTTTTAAAAATAATTACACTTAAAAAAGGTTATCAAAAATTAATTGATAAATTATTTTCAATTTTCTAAAATTTAATTATTATCTGAAATTTAATAAAATCTTTTGAAATTTAATTATGAAAATTTTCAACTAATTAACATTTCTAAATTTCAATTATTTTTAATAATTTTAATATTTCATTAAAAATTCATTTATTTAAAAAAGTTTCAAAAACTCTAAAATTGAATTGTTAGAATTTTTTTTTTTTTAGAAATTTGTCCTACTTGGACAAATCTTATATATTCTTATTAAAAAATTAATAAAATGGATTTAATATATTTAGTAATATTAATTATTTAAACTAAAATACTTATTAATTGAATTTAATTAAAATTTTAAAAATCTACGTTTTTGAATTGTTAATCGACTAAAAGAACTTTTTTTACGACTTAAAGTCGATCCGAGGCCTGAATGGTGGTATTTAAAATAATTTTTTTTTTTTTTTTTATTAAATTAAATTTGGAAATATAAATAAGGAAAGGATTTCGTATAAGGAAAATTCGAAATTGAAGCCAGAGGTTTATTAGGGAAAGTAGAGAGACTTGAAAAGAATTCATTGCCTTAACCACTCGTCCATCCAAACTAACAAAATATATAAAGATTCATTGATACGCTTTTTAACCATTTTTTAATATTCATTATTATAAGTAGGTGCCGATGGAGAAGGAGGAAAGCGGATGCGGATTTTTTTTCGTAATATTTTTTTAAAAAATTAGTATCAATGCTAACAAAAAAAAAAAGCAACAATATATATGTAAATGTATATATTGTTTCTGCTAACACACTAACAGAATTGAGTTGGTTAGATATGGATGTGTGGTGGGACGTTGGAAATCGCAACATGCTCGCATGTTGGACATGTGTTTCGTAAGTCGACTCCCTACACCTTCCCCGGTGGTACGAGCAAGATCGTGAATCGGAACAATGCTCGCCTCGCTGAGGTCTGGTTGGACCAATGGAAACACTTCTATTACAACATTAATCCAGGTAGCACTAACGCCTGCGTCGCTGATTAATCAACACAATTTGGTTTCCTTCAATTCAATCGAAAAATAAATTAGCATGCTCTCTTTCTCGAATATCCACTGTCTTCTCCTCTGGTTTCCTTTATTTTTCATCGTATAATTCTTTGCTTTCATTATTTTTTTTGCCAGCTTGTGTCAGATACCCGTTCAAAAAAAGAGAAATAAAAAATTTTCTTTTTCATCAAATTTAACATGGGAAAATGAAATTTATTCCTTGCTGATTAGTTTTCATTTGGAAAAAAAAATTTCTTTTTTGGAAGAATGAATATTTGACTTTATGCCTTTTTTACATCGAACATCGATTCAATTTTTTTTTTTAATTTGGTAACTATTTACAAAACGAGTGTGAATGTTCTTTTGTTTCGAAAAAAATGCTTTGAATATTTGTAATTGTGATAATTCTGCAACAAATAGAAATTTATTTCTATTTTTTAATTTAATAGATAGAAATGTAATTTTTTGTTGGCATGTTTTCGAAATTATTATCTATTTTTTTCAGCAAAATATTCATAAAAATAAAATAAAGCCAAATAACATTTTTAGTTTCGATATTTTTTTTTTTATAGAAAGATATTGGAGTTCTGATTCCCAAATCACCAGGCACTGCACACACTTTTTTTTCAAAAAAAATTCATCATCACTCTTCATAAAATTTACGAAGGCAATTTTTTTTTACACAAAAAGCGCACAATGCAAGAAAGTAGTAAACGAGGCTTTTTAGATAAAAAGAAATATTTAATAATTATTTTTTTTACAGGTGCTCGCAGCGTTTCTGTTGGCGATGTCTCGGAACGAAAAGCTTTAAGGGAACGTCTCAAGTGTAAAAACTTTAAATGGTATTTGGAAAATATTTATCCAGAGTCACCGATGCCATTGGATTATTATTATCTTGGAGATGTGTCGAATGTTGAAACGAAAAATTGTCTCGATACAATGGGCCGAAAAACAGGAGAAAACGTCGGTATTACTTATTGTCACGGACTTGGTGGCAATCAGGTAAAATATATTTTTTTTTTATTTTAATTAATAATAATAATAATTATTATAATTATGAAACAATTAACGTAAAAATATTTTATTTATTTATATTTTTCTTTTAATTTTTACGGTTAACGTACAAATATAATAAAAATTAAAAAGAAAGTTTTTACTAAAAATAGAATTTAAGTTTCAAAATGTAACTTCAGGCCTCGGATTATTTTTTCTGACCTTTTTTGACTTATTTTAATAAAATGCGATTTTTTTTACATTTTTTTTACAAAATTTTTAAAATATGTCTTTTTTAGTGTACAATGCCGATTTTCTTTATTTCAATTTAACAAATTTTTAACTAAAATTATTCTCGAAATTAATTATTTTTTAGTAATTTTATTGAGAAATTCTTCACAAATTCAATAATTTTAAACTAGTTTTTAATTAAAAATTTTTAACTATATTTTCCAAAAATTTTAATTTAAAATTTAATTATTAAATTTCAGAAAATTTTAAAAATAATTAAATTTTTATAGGTTTTAAATTGAAATACATATTTGAAAGTAATTGAATTCAAGTCATTTTAAATTGAAATTTTTTTCTTGATTTCTGTTATTGAAGAATTTAGTTAAAAATGAAAGACAATTTCAAAATTTTGTAATTGAAAAATGCTTTCAGATATTTGAATTTTCGAAAAATATAAAAATCATTGAAAAGTAATTAAATTTCGAAAGAGTTATAATTGAAATTATTAAATTTCAGAAAGTTTTAGATGAAAAATTTTAAAAATAATTAAATTTTTCAAAGATTTTAAATTAAAATTGTTAGTAATTTTATTTGCTGATTTTTTTTTCAAATTTTGACAATTATTGAATTATGTAAAATTTTTGAAAAATAGTTTGAATTCATGAAGAATTTCATTAAAATAATTAAAAAATAATTTAGAGAGGAATTTTTGTTAAAAATTTGTTAAATAATAATTAAAAGAAAAAAGATCCAAAGTAGCATTGTAAACTAAAAAGAAGTATTTTTAAAAATTAAAAAAAAAAACAGAAAAAGTTATTTTAATAATAAAATATTTGTTATATTTATTTCAAAATTATAATTATAATAAAATTATAGTTATTAATTACAATAAAAGGAGTAAATAATTATTTTTGCAGGTGTTTGCGTATACGAAGAGACAACAAATAATGTCAGATGATATGTGCCTGGATGCTGCGAGTCCTCGTGGACCAGTGAAAATAGTCCGTTGCCATGGAATGGGCGGAAATCAAGCTTGGGTTTATAACAATATGGTATTTTTTTAAATTTTATTATTTTTTTTAATTCGAAATAAATTAGAAATTAAATTTTTTTTTAAAAATACAAATAGAAAATTGATAATTCATTTTGTTTTAGACCAAAATGATAACACACACAAATACAGGCTATTGTCTCTCAAAACCACGACCTGGAGATGCGACACAACCTGTTCTTGCAACATGTGATCAACGTGTTTCCGGTCAAAAATGGATAATGCAAAGTAAATTTGTATGGCAAGCCAGCTAATACCAAGTAAACGCAAAGGACCAAGAATTATACTCGGTACTTGTTGATGCGTTCAAGTATTTATAAAATTAAAGGACTGAACTTTTCAGGGACCTTATTATTCTACTAAAAATTTTAGATTAAAAAAAATATATCAAAAACAATCTGTTTCAAAGATTGTTCATGATGATTAACAAAAAAAAAAAGCAAATAATTACGAAGACTAGAAGAATTTTTTTCGTAGAAGCTAATCTAGTGTTTTATAATAGAAAAAAAACAATATTGAGCATTTACTGCCATTTTTTATGGTATGCTTTATGAGATTTTTTTTTTTTTAAAGTACTTGTGGAAAAAGAAAACAAAGTACAGGTGCAAATGAAGAAACGTGAATTTTTACCGAATGTTAGAAAGAAAGAAAGCATATCACGTAACTGTTATTAATTGTTGACTTGGATAAATTTAAGTCTAAAGGAAATTTGGGATGAGTGCAATGATGACCTTCCACACACATTTTTTTTTTTTTTTGAAAAAAGAATAGCAGGTTAGAGTTCAGCCTTTATTTTATTTATCAAAGCTAAGTCAAAGTTTTTTTTTTTTTTTTTAATATAACTAGATTGTAAAAAAAAAATTGTATCTTAGGATTTTAAATAGACTTGAAAAAAAGAAATTTACAACTGACATTTTGGTATTATTAAATTAATACAATCTTTTTGTAAATATCTAAGAGATTTTCCTCATATAGTCAGATTCAATTTTTTTTTAAGTACAATTTAAAAATATATTTTTAAGTATACTTTTTTGCCCTCAATAGTCAGGTTTTAAATCCCCCCCCCAACTTCGTCGTTTTTTTTTTTAAGTATAGTTTTAAAATCATTCCTCATAGGCGTTAATTTCAATTTCTTTATAATTTTTTTTATTTTTGAACTCTCGGAAGATTGTGAAATTTTCGAATAACAAGATTTTTTTTATTCGTAAATTTGCTTTTATTTGCATCAAATAAGCCAAAATGATTTTAAAATAAAAATAGAATTTTTTAAAATTGAAAGAAAATTTTTTTAGAAAAATATATATATTTTAGTATTTTTTTTTTTTTATTATAGAAAATCTGAATAAAATTGGAAAACTTTTTTTTTTAATTTGCGAAAAGATTAATTTATTTTAGATAATTAATGATAGTAAATAAAATTTTATTTCCAATTTTAAATCATTGCAGATTGTTATTTTTTTAAGTAAATTGAGATTTCTATTTTCTAAATTAAACATATCTTCTATTTTTTTTTTTTTTGGAATAAAAATTGATAAATTTTTTTTTTTTTAATGAACGTTTTTTGAATTTTTTCATACTTTTCAAAATTGAGTCTTCCGTCATTTTTGTTTTTAGTTTCTTTATGATTTAATTTAGAAAAATCAGTCTGAGATTTTTTATACAATTTAGCATAAATAAGAAATGTTAAATATAAAAAAAAAAGAAAAAGTGAGAAAGTTAATTCAGATTTCGAAGAATTGTTTTTTCGATTTCTGTACATTTTTCTATATTTTATCTGTTGCTTAGTTAAGATTAATTATATATTAATTCTCACCGATAAAATGCGTATTGCTCCGTTAGTTATGTACACAAAAAAAAAAACGCTACATTTATTAATAATAGAAAATTGTACAGTTTTAAATTGAAAAAAAATCAAGAATTAGTCTCTAAGTACCTTATATATATATTGAAAATTGTATTTCACAAATTTAAAAAAAAAACTGTAAGATTTTTGTCATTCGTTAAAGAACAAGACGATTTTTAAAAAAATATCTATGGGTGATGGTGCAGCAATTTATCATTTTACAGCTTAAATATATTTAATTCATTGTTTTAAAAAAAAAATTGCAGTATTTATTTTTGTATAGACCTTCATAACAAAAAATATTTCTTTTAATGGTGCGAAAAAAATGATGAATTAGTTGATATAAATAAATGTTTGTAGAAAAAAATGTGTTTATTTCTTATAATAGAAACATTTTTTTTTTTCTGAAAAATCGGCTTGGTTTTCTTTAATTTATTTAAAAAATGATTTTCTCTTAGAATTTATTTCGTACAAATTTTAAATAAATAAGAAAATTGTTTTAAATTTTCATTTGATAATTATGAAAATTAATTTTTTTTAAGTTTTACAGGCCACGGATTGACTTTAAGGCACAAAAAAAGTCGATTTATATTTCAAAAAAAAGTCGATTTTTTTTTATTTTAATTGGTTAATTAATATTTTACTGTAAATAACTAATGTTATTAGATATTAAATTCATTTTATTAATTCTGTAATGAGAATAATTCTATAAAAAATATTATCAAGAAAGTTTAATTCTATGTCAGAATCGAACTAAAGAAAAATTTTCAAAATTTTAATTAAGTAGAACAAATTTCTTAAAGTTACATTTTTTTATAATTTTTTGATGTCTGATTTAAGCAATTTTTTTTAATTAAAAATTTTGTCACAGTTTTTTAATTTTTATGGTCAAAAAAAATTTCAAATAATACTTAATCAAGTTTTACAGATTTTTATTAAAAAAATTTTTTTTCAAATAATAATTTTTGGAAGAGTTAAAGTTGAAATTTTTGAAAATAATTGAATTTCAAAAATTTTTTGTTAATTTTCAGAAAAGAATTCAATTTTACAGAACTAATAATAATTTATCAAATAATTTTAGATAAAATTTTTTAAAAGTAATTGAGATTTTTAAAGATTTACGAAAATAGATTTTTGAAATTAATTGAAGTTAAAGTGATTTTTAATTTTTCATTTTACTAAAAAATTTATTAGAAATTGCCGACAAAAATACAATAATTTGAAAACTTTTGAAGCGAAGAATATTATAAAAATCATTAAAAATAATTGAATTTCAGGAGAGTTATAATTGAAATTATTAAATTTCAAAAAATTTTAGAAGTTTTTAAATTGAAATTTTTGAATTTCAAAAAAATTTTTGTTAATTTTCAGAAAACAATTAAATTTTACAGAACTAATAATAATTTATCAAATAATTTTAGATAAAATTTTTTAAAAGTAATTGAAATTTTTAAAGATTTACGAATTTAGATTTTTGAAATTAATTGAAGTTAAAGTGATTTTTAATTTTTTATTATTTTACTAAAAACTTCATTAGAAATTGACGACAAAAATATAATAATTTGAAAACTTTTGAAGCGAAAAATATAAAAATCATTCAAAATAATTGAATTTCAGGAGAGTTATAATTGAAATTATTAAATTTAAAAAAATTTTAGAAGTTTTTAAATTTAAATTTTTGAAAATAATTGAATTTCAAAAAAATTTTTGTTAATTTTCAGAACTAACAATAATTTATCAAATAATTTTAGATAACATTTTTTAAAATAATTGAATTTTCAAAGATTTACAATTTTAATTTTTGAAATTCAAGTGATTTTTAATTTAAAATTTTTGATTTCTGTTACTAAAAAAATTTATTAGATAAATGAAGAATTTATTAGAAAGTACATAACAAAAATTCAATTCAAAAAGTTTTTAATTAAATAATGCTTTTAGATAATTAAATTTTTGAAGAATATAATAAAAATAATTAAAAATTTTTGCAAATAATTAAATTTCAAGTGATTTTGAATTAAAATTTTTTGATAATTTTTTTTTTTAAATTATAAACAATTATTAAATTTCATAAAAATTTTAATTGAAAAATACAGTGGAACCTCGATTATCCGAACTAATCTAGGCAAGGCCGGGTTCGGATAATCGAAAATTCGGATAATAGAGATTTTAATTTTTTTTATAATTAAAGTAAAAAAATGTACAGTTGAACTATATATTTAACTTAATACATATGTTTTTAAATATACATAAGTATATACATATATGTAAATATATATTAATTAATAATATATTAAAAACTCAGAAAATTCGGAAATTTTTAAGATTTTTTTTGGCATAAATTTGGTTATTTTGCTTTGAATGATAAAATAAATAGAGAAAATAAAATTTAAAATTCGGGAGACCAAAAAATAGTTCGGATAAAATGTTTTTCGATTCGGATAATAGAGGGTTCGAATAATAGAGGTTCGGATAATCGAGGTTCCACTGTAGTTCAAAATAATTGAATTTGTGAAGAATTTCATTAAAATTATTAGAAATAATTAATTTAGTGAAGAATTTTAGTTAAAAATTTGTTAAATAATTGAAATAACAAAGATCTGCATTGTATATAAAAAAAAATGTATTTTGTTTAAAAATTTTGTAAGAAAATTTAAAAAGAAAGTCAAAAAAGTCGCATTTTGTTAAAATAAATCGATAAAAGTCGTATAATCCGAGGTCTGAGTTTAAAATTTTTTTAATGAGAAATAAAAATTTATTTTCTTTTTTTAAACAAAAAAATAAGTTTATTGTAATTTACAATATTGATTCAAGAGGTGTGTAGTAAATTAAGTGTAACAGAAAAGTTGTTTGGAAAATGATTTTTTATTATATTAATTAAATAGATTTACTGGTCTTTGACTTCACGGAGACGACGAACTGCTGACCTGACGGATGCAGCGGTCGTTGTGGAGTAAACCCAGGCACCTCCTGCAACTGTCCTTTTGCATCGTTTACAGGACCAAATTCCAACAACGCTACGTTTCATGGCCTCCTGCACAAGGTAAGAAAAATAAATTTATTTAAAAAAAAACAACAAACAAATTATTTAAATGTTTTTTAATTTAATTCTTTAAACATTTTAAGGGTCAGTTTCACCGACTCCGGTTAAAAGTTAATCAGCGATTAAATCCTTAACCAACCAATCATGAGCGGTTAAATTGGCTTTAATCGCTGATTAACTTTTAACCTGAGTTGGTGAAACTGGCCCTAAATCAATTGATTTATTTTCTATTTGAAAAAACAGATATTAATCCCAAAGAATATAGTAATTTTTCTCAACTAAATTTAAAGTCTCGTGCAAATTTTGAAATTTAGTAAAGTAAAATTTTGAATGAAGGAAAATTAAAATTACCTTTCCACAGAATGTACAGGTGTATTTGCTGTGTTGCGTTATTTCCATTTTTTTCACCATTTTTCTAAGGGAAGCACCATATCGGGTACCATACTTCCCGGTGATTCCTACCTTCTTGGTACGCTTGGCCTATAAATAATAAAAATACATCACTAACACAATTCACTTTAAAATAATATTTAAATATTTTCATTTTCATTTTAAAATTACAAATTATTTTTTTATTCAGACACTTTCTAAGCAAATCATGTGACATAACCTCTAAACTTTAAATAAACAAATATGAATAATTTTTTTTTTTCTTAACAATCGACACTTTTAAATTTCATTTGTCATTGTTTATTTTTATATTCCATTAATTTTCACTGTTTATTTATTTATTTATTTATTTCCAAAACTTATGTTCACTTCTTATGACAACATAACCTCACTGGTTTTTAAATCCGTTTTAATGTAAAATTTCACAGGATTTTAGAAAAAATAATCATCTACACTGAGAAACAATTGTTTCATTTTTATAATTTAATGATTTTTTAACAATTATTTTTAATGATTACACGTAAAAAATGAGATTATTTCTCTTACCATTTTTGTATTGATACAATACACACGTCAAAAGAACCGGAAAAGAAACGCAATTCTAGAGAATCAAGATGGCGTTCCCTTCGTTTTTTTTTTGACTTCCGGTTATTTGAAATTTAAATTTTTGAAATTTGCGCCAATTTTTTTTTGTATTTTTCCTGGGTAAATGGATTTTGCATATAAAAAATAAGTTAAATAATAAAGAAGCTGAATTTAAATTATAAAAGTCTCTTTTAGTAAATAGTAAAAATTAAAAAAAAATTATTAGTAAATTAGTAAATAATTAAAAGCCTTTAATAATTAAAATAATTAATTCAAATAATTTTAATAATTAAAAAAATAATTAATTTCAAATAAATTAATTAAATTATTAAATTATTAAAATGAAATAAATAAAAATAAAAAGAAATTATAGTTTGATAAAATTGTAATCAATTAATTTCTAATTAATTTCTAATTAATATCTAATTAATATCTAATAATATCTAATTTAACTTAGGGAAATTAATTAAATTTAGCATTAAAAAATTATTTGCAGTAAAATAAAAAATATTGTCAATTGTAAATTTTATTTTTATTATTCAAATATACAAATAGGTACTTTATGAGAAAGCAAAATGAATAATTTGTTTTGTTTTTAATTTTTTGAAATTCGAAAACAAAATTTTATAAAATTGGAAGTGTCTTTCTCCAAAAATTCATTGCATCTGGATAAAATTCACGTTGAAGAGTCACAGATGGAATTTTATTATTATTAATATCTCCAATTCTAAGATGAGCATGACATCGTTTATAAGGTTGCCAAAGATGATGATTTGTTATCTCATGCGATTTTGGTATGCTAAACAAAAAAAAAAATATTATTTTTTTAATTGCGTATAGAAAAAAAATCGCTGTTCCAGATAAAAATTTTTTTTCCGTATAAAAAATGAATTTTTTATTATTATATTTTTTTGTACCTATTTTTTGCAAACGATGTCCATAAATCCAGCATTAAATTAACAATTTTCTCATCGTCTTGTGTCATCCATGACATTGGAATGCCAGAGAAAAGATAAAGTAATTCATCCGAATGCATGACGCCAACATTTTCTTTAACTTTATAAATTAAATTTGTATAACTATTATTACCACGATAACCAAATAAATAAGAATAAAATGAACTTTGTGCGTATGTAGACATTTTTTCAAGAAACTTTATTTGTGGATAAAAAAATCCAGCATCAGTCAAAAATCTCGTGTAATTTTTAAGAAGCTGAAAAAAAAGAAAAATATTTTTATTCTCAAAAAAAAAGAAAGATATAAATTACAATTTTGTAAAAAAAAAAATAAAATAATAATACCTCATCCCTGCTAAGTGAGTCAATTGAACCACTAAAATAATAATCAGTCACTGCTTTTCTAAATTTTGGTATTTTATCTTTGGTAAAGTAATATTCGCCATTTATTGTTATTGCTTTTTTTATTGCGTCATTAAGTGACGCTGATGTTAGATTCGCATAGTAAACTGTAAACAAAAATAATAATTATAATAATTATTATAATAATAAATAAACAAAATAAATAACAAAAATAAATAAATAAACAAAATAAAAATAATAGAAATAAAATAATAATAATAATAGAAATAAATTAACAAATAATTAATTAGTTGTTAATTTATTTCTAAAAGTAATTTTATTTCAAGTTCCGAACATTTAGTAATTTTCGATTTTGAAAATGTGCTTTAAATGTTCAAGTGTATTTCTGATAATCGTTTGAAAAAAAAATGGTAATTTTGGTAATTTTAATAGATTTTTTTCTATTTTATTTTTCAGGTGAGTGCAAGGAATTTTTTTTTTTGCGATATACTGAAAATTAATTTGTTTTCGATTTAAATAACACATTTCGGAAGTGAAATTCCTTAAAATCGTGATCAATTATAATAATTTAGATTAAAAATTAGAGTTTTTCAATTTAATTTCGAGAGTGTTCGAATTTTTCTAAAATCGCGATCGGTTATAAGATTTAGGGTATAAAGTAATTTTTTTTTTTTTTCAATTTCAAAACTCGTAATCAAAAGTTCACGAATTAAATCGCGATCGATTAAAAGTTTTTTCGATTTAAAAATAAAAGTAATTTCGAAAGTGTTCGAAAAATTTTAAATCGCGTGTGTTTTTGGCTGAAATCATCATCAATAGTGGCAGCAGCAATTTTGGAATCATAAGCAGATTTAATTCAAGGTTTGGAATATTACTAATAATTTTTGAATTTCTCTTTTTTTTGCGAAAATTTGTTTTAAATTAAAAAAAAAAAACTTAACACTCACGCAAAGATAGAAATAATCCTTCATCAGTTGTTGATCCAACAATAAATGGAAGATCCCTCATTTTATTTTGAGCCATTAATCTCTCTGGTGTATCGGTTATAAATGCATCTTTCGATTCTGGTTCATTTGTTGGTAGCCAATATAAAAGTGGATATTCCTCATTTTTCACTATTAATATTTTTAATAATTTTTCCACACTCTGATTTCTTAAACAATTGACAAATATTTCGGAATTTGAATTTGAACAACTCACACTTTTTGACACAGTGTCTAAATATGGTTGATAATTTTCTTTTTTTCGAAATGACCACGCTCCCAATACATTTCCACTTTGAATAATATAACGATGAAATAGTCCTAAAAAAAGAAAAAAAAAAATTTTTTTTTTTTTTTAATACAAGTGGGAAAAAAAAATTTCTGCAAAATAATAATAATAATAATAACCGTGAGTTTTATCGGAAAGTGCCAAAAATTGTACAGAAGCACCACCGGAACTTTCGCCAAATATTGTCACACGATTTGGATCACCACCGAAATTTTTGATATTTTCTTGAATCCATTTTAGTGCTAAAACTTGATCTTTAAGGCCATAATTTCCAGGTGATGCTGAATCGCCAGTTGTTAAAAATCCCAAAATTCCCAAACGATAATTCAATGAAACAAGAATAACATTTCGTGATGGTAAAAAATTAGGACCAAGAAAACTGGGATTTCCATTTCCCCAAAAAAATCCACCACCGTGAAACCATACCATTACCGGAAGTAATTTTTTATTATCCTATAAATAAGAAATTATTTATTATTATTAGAATTATTTTAATAAATTAAGGAATTACTAAAAAAAAAAATCCTTAAAAATAGAAATTATTTCAATTTATTTATTTCTAGAAAATAAATATATCATAAAATTATAATTACCATTGGATAATTGAATTCTAAAATAGGTGTATGAACATTTATGAATAGACAATCTTCATTGCCCTTAATATTTTCTTCCTCTAATTGAGGACAAATATTTGCTTCCTCGGTTGCTTGACGAATTCCACTCCATGTTAGTCCTGGTTCAGGATTTTTGAATCTAAAATTAAAATTCCAAATTTTTAAAAAATTTTTTTATTCTCATATATACGATAAAATTTTATTTATCGCATTTTTTAGAATTGTTGTTTCCTTAATGTAAATACTTTTTCCCTAAAAGGAAAAAACATACTTTCCTTATTGATGAAAAAAGTTTCCTTTAGAGGAAAATGAATTTTTTTTTATTGAGAAAAAAAATTCTTTATCGTTTATAAAAAATAAAATTTTTTGAATTTTTAAAAATTAAATTAAAATTTTTTTTTTACCTAAGTTCTCCAATTGGAGGTCGAGCGTAAGGAATTCCAAGAAAGGATGAAAAATTTCTACCATTTTTATCCTGTTGAAATTTTCCTTTTAATGTACCTTGTCGAATTGTTGCCAAAGGATCTCGATGATGATGTCGAGTTGCGGATATAAATAAAATAATATTTGAAATACAAAATAAAAATATCAATTTATCAATCATTGTGATAATTTTAAATTTTGGCAATATTATCTCTTGATATTCTAATTTCTTATCGCAATGAGGAAGAGCTGTTGATTATTAAACGTGGCAAGATAAACTGAAGGAAAATGTTGTTCATCAACCGGTCATACTAGATACGTATGCTAATTATAGAGATAAAAATAAAAAATATATTATACTCTTTTAGATAAAGTATCAGGAAATTGATCAAAAAAAAAAAAATCTCTTACAATTTAAACAGTGTGTGCGCTATAATTAGTCATATGGACAATTTTTTTTTTGTATCGTTAATATCAATATTTGCTATTTTAAAAGAAGCGAGTTTTTATTTTTTGAAGAATAAATCAATTTTGAATTTTTTATTTTTGAAATTATCTTTCTTTTTACTTATTTACTTTACATTCAAAAATACACTAATTTCAATCTCATAAATTAATTTTAAATTAATTTTAGTTTTTTAAATTAATTAAATACGTTAATTAATTCAATACGTGCATTTAGTCTTTTAAATTAATTTAAAAATGGCTAATTAATATTAATTTAAATTAAACAAATCTCAAAAGTATTGGAAATTCTTTTCGCCAAAAATCTAAACGATGAGAAAAATAATTATCATCCATAGTGACTGTTGGATCAGTATTATTTGAAATATTTCCAATTTGAAGGAAACTATTATTTTCCACATATGGTTGCCAGAGATTTGGATTTTCTAATAGATTTGAAGTTGGTTTTCTGAAAAGAAATAAATTTTTTTCATTATTAGAAAAAAAAAATTAAAAAAATAAATCACTTACCCATCGATGGCAAATGATGTCCAAAAGTCAATCATTAAATTAAGAATTTTTTCATCATTATCATTTATTGTATTTGTTTCATTTGTTGAGAATAAAAATCCAAGTTCTTCAGCGTGTGGAACACCGACATTTTTTTTAATATCAAAAAGATCAAAAATTTTATTCATATTTAAACTATAATAACCAAATGAATAAAAGTAAAATGGTTTTTTTGTTACTTTTAACATTTTCTCCATCATTGATGATTGTGGATATAAAAATCCGCTATCGCTCACAAAATTTGTATAATTTTCCACAAGCTAAAAATTAAAAATAAAAAATTCTTTAAAATTTTTTTGTTTTTTATATTTTGAAAAAAAATTGTTTCTTTTTTACCAAAAAATAATTTGCTTAAAAATTTGCTTTATTTAAAATTTTTTTATTTACTTACTTTATCTTCAGGTACAGAATTAATTGATGTGTTAAAATAAAAATTTTCAATAGCATTTCTAAATTCTTTAACATCTTCTGATTTCAAATAATGATTCGATGTTGAATTAACACATCTTTCCAAAAGATATTGAATTCGTTCAATTGGCGTTTTATTTGCGTACATTGCTATTTAAAAAAAAATTATTATTTATTTTAATTAGATAATAATTTTAATGACTAATGCATTGAAAAAAAAGAAAAAAAAAAAACTTACGTAACGTTACAAGTAGTCCTTCGTTAACGACAGTTCCGCTCATAAAAGGATGATCTTTCATTTGATTTTTTGCCATTAAATTTTTAGGACTATCAGTTAAATAAGCATCTTCTGATTCTGATTCATCTGTTGGTAGCCAAATTAGTATGGGAAAATTTTCAATACGTGCATTTTTTGCCCTCAATAATGTATCAATACTTTTGTTTCTTAAACAATCGACAAGTGGTTGAGAATTTGTATCAGGACAACCAATTTTTTTTCCAATTATATTTATCAATGGTTTATATTCCGCTTTACTGCGATAAACCCAAGGACTCAGGGCACTTCCACTCTGAATTATATATTGATGAAAAAGTCCTGCAAGATATTTGAAATTTTTTTTTCAAATTAAATTCAAATTCAAATTTCAATTACCTAAATTAATTTAAATTAAAAATTCAAATTTTAATTAAATTAGTATTTCTGGAAAATTTAATTAAAATTCTAAATTAAAAATAAAAATAACTTATTTCGAGATAGATTCAAAAAAAATAAAATAATAATTGCAAAATTACCATTAGTTGCGTTCGATAGTGCATGTAAATTAACAGAAGCACCTCCTGCACTTTCTCCAAATAATGTAATTCGATTTGGATTACCGCCAAAATTTTTGATATTTTTTTTTATCCATTTCAAGGCCAAAACTTGATCTTTGAGGCCAAAATTTCCCGGCGCTACAGAATCGCCAGTTGTGAAAAATCCAAAAATTCCCAAACGATAATTCATTGAAACAAGTATAATATTTTTATCGAGAAGATATTTTGGACCATATACATTTGGACTACTGTTGCCAAAAAAAAATCCACCACCATGTACCCACACCATAACTGGCAATAATTTATTTTCGTTCTAAATTTAAAAAATTTGAAAAAATATTTTATAAAAAATAATTATATATATATATATTTTTTTTGTTATTTTATTCGAAAATTGTTAATTTAAAATAAAATAAAATTCGTACCACATTTTTAAAATCCAATAATGGCGTGTATACATTTAAATATAAACAATCTTCTTCGCCATATATATTATTATCGAAATAAACTTGTGCACAAGAATTTCCTTCCTGATTAGCCAAACGAATTCCTTCCCATTTTACCCCTGGCAATGGATTTTTAAATCTAAATTAAAATTTTATTATTATTATTCAACTTATTTAAATAAATAAATAAAAAATATTTTAAAAATTACCTGAGATTATCAATTGGAGGCTGAGCGTAAGGAATTCCAAGAAAAGCAGAAATTTGTCTATTATTTTTTGTTTCAAATATTGTACCACTAAGAATGCCTTGTTCTATTTTAACAATAGGTTCAGCATGTAAAATAGAATAATAAAAAAAATGTAGAAGAAAAAATTTAAATACCAATTGTACCATATTATTTTTTGATTTAAAAATGAAACAAAAGAAATTAATTAATTTCATACGCGCGGATCGAATGAAATCTATAGAGTGCAAATAGCTTTAGAGATTTTGCATCAAGAGTACATTGTCTTGAGATAATTACATCTAAATGACCTTTAATCCTTGCATTTTTATAAAACTCATAAATTATTGAACGTCATTAAATTATTCTTTTATTCAATATTTATCAATTTTAATTTTTTTTTTTAATATATAAATTTATAAATAGAAATTTATTAAAATTAATTTGTAATTCAAATTTTTATCTCACTTTATTGAAAAGTAAATTTAATTTTTTTTATAATTAAAATAATCGTTCGTTAAACAAAATTTCAATGAATGTTTAATAATTTTTTCGATAAAATTTTTACAATAAAGGAAAATTTGCTTTCCAAAAATTCATTCGATTTGGTAAATAATTATTTTCAACTGTTACAGTTGGTTCGAAATTATTTTTTATATTTCCTATTTGTAGAAAACTATTATTTTCCTGATAGGGTTTCCACATATTTGGATTTTCTAAATGCATGGAAGTTGGTTTTCTGAAAATAGAAAAAAAAATATATAAATTATCTGAAAAATTAAATTTTTTTTTTCAAAATTTTACCCATTTATTGCAAAAGACGTCCAAAAATCGACCATTAATTCAATCATTTGTTCATCTTTTTTTGTGACAAGATTCGATGGTACCATGGCAAATAAATAGAGAATATCATCGCCATGAGGTGATCCAAAATTATCCGTTATATTTCTTTCAAAAAAAATTAAATTCACATTTCCACGATAACCAAATGAATAAAAGTAAATTGGACTTTTTTTTGTTTTTGCAATATTTTCCACTAATATCAATTTTGGATAGATAAAACCACTGTCACCGACAAATTTTGTATAACTTTCAAGAAGCTGTTAAAAAAAAATTCAATAATTTAGAAATAACAATAGTAAAATTAATTTAAAAATTAAAAATAATATTTATACTTTGCTTTCATTCTTTGCGACAGCTTCATTGATGTAAAAATCTTGAATTATTTTATCAAATTTGTATGTTTCTTCAGGTTTCATATAATGAGTAGCAGTGAAATTAATAGTTCGTTTAAATGTTTCCATAATTGATTCCGTTGTCTCCTTAACGTAAAAGGCTAAAAAAAAAGAATTAGAGAAAATAAAAATAAAAATTTTCAAATAAAGAAACTAACGTAAAGTTACGATCATTCCTTCGTCGAGATCACTTCCGCTTATTGATGGTAAATCTTTCATTTTATTTCGACTAATTAAATTACGTGGACTATCTGTTAAAAATGCATCTTTTGATTCTAATTCATCGGTTGGTGTCCAATATAAAATGGGAAAATCAAAATGTTCATATTTCACGGGCATTACCAATTTTTCGACATTTATTTCACGTAAACATTCAACTAGAACTTGTGAATTATTTTTTATACATCCAACTTTATCGGCAAATTCATTTGCAAAAGATTGGAAAAAAGTTCTGTTTCTGTAACCCCATTGACTCAATATACTTCCACTTTGAATAATATATTGATGAAAGAGTCCTAGAAAAAAAATAGCAAAAAAAACAAAAAAAAAAAAACAAAAAAAAAGAATGAAATTATAAATACCGTGAGTTGCATTTGAGAGTACATGAAGATTAACCGAACCACCTCCGGCGCTTGAACCAAAAATTGTCACACGTTTTGGATCACCACCAAAAAATTGAATATTATTTTGAATCCATTTGAGAGCTAAAACTTGATCTTTCAATCCAAAATTTCCCGGTGCATATTCATTGCCTGTGGAAAAAAATCCCAATACTCCCAAACGATAATTTAATGTTACAAGAAGAATATCTTTTTGTAAAAGATATTTTGGATTAAAAATTTTTGGATCACTGCTTCCACTGAAAAATCCTCCGCCATGAATATAGACCATTACCGATAATAATGAATCATTCTTTCTGTGTTTCTCCTAATAGAATTTTTTTTCTATTAGGAAAATTATTTTTAGTTTTTTACATTTGAAAAATTAATTTAAAAAATAAATTCTAAAATAGATAATTTTGTTTTAGAATATTAGAGAAAAAATTAAAACACAAAAATAATTCTAAAAATAATAAATAAATAAATAAAAACATAAAATAATTTCAAAAAAATATTTAAATATGAATTTATTTTTGTTACATAATTAAAATTTTTTGTTATTTATTTCGGAAATCTATATTTATAAATTGAAATAACTTACCAATGACGAATTGAAATTCACAATTGGCGAAAAAACATTCAAATATAAACAATCCTCATTGCCAATTACATATTCGTTTAAAAATAATTGTGGACATTTATTTGGTGTTTCTATTGCTGAACGTACACCATTCCATGATTTTGCTGATACAGGACTTTGAAATCTGCAAATAATACAAAAAAAAAATTGCAATTAAAAAAATTTTTTAATTTAATTGAAAATTTAATTAAAAAATTAATATTAAAATTAAAATTATTGCAAAAAAATATTCAAAATTTTCTTCTTTTTCAAAATGGAAAAAAAGAATTAAGAATTTTTTTTCCTATTGTTTAAAAATATATAAATTTAATTTTTACCTCAATTTTCCAATTGGTGGTTCAGCATAAGGAATTCCAATAAATGCAGAAAAATTTCTTCCATTATTACCATGAAAAATTGTTCCATTAAGAATTCCTTGTGGAATTTTTATCAAAGTTTCCGCATTCAACGACGATATGAGTAATAAATTTAATATTGACACTAATGACCCATGCGTATTGATATTCATTGTTATCGAATTCTTTAAAAGTTTACAAAGAAAGTAACGGATGAAATTAGTTATAATTTTTTTTTTTATTTAATTTATAAAGCACGTTAATGTAAATTTCTATCTAAATTTAAATATAAGTTGAACAATGAGAATAAATTATATTATGTGTAAATAAATTAATCCACGACTTAGGAAATCTATCTTGTAATTCAAAAACAAAAGGTTATCACAATTGTAGTTCTCCTGAATCCAATGATAAGCAAAATAATACACTATATTCAAAATTAAACAAGTATTTAGAAAAAAAAAGAATTTATTTCAATACAACAAAATATGACATGAGTAAAAAATATTAAAAATTAAAATTTTTAAATGAAATTGAAAAATACAAAACTAATGAAAAATTAAAGTTTTATGAGGGGAAAATTGTTTTTCCATAAATTTAAACGATCTGTAAGATAATCTTTTTGTAAAGTAACACACGGTTCGGTATTATTTAAAATATTTCCAATTTGAAGAAAACTTTTTGTTGTCGAATAAGATTTCCATAAATTAGAATCAGCTAATTGTCCAGAAGTTGGTTTTCTAAAAAAAAGAAATGTTTTTTAAATTTTTCTAATCTCAATTTAGTAGGAATTTTTTCTTTTTTTTTTGGTACTAAAAGAAAATTAAATTCTTGATTTTACCCATTTATCGCGAAAGATGTCCATAAATCAACCATTAAATCAATGACATATTCATCTGTTCGTGAAATATATTTTGAATGTTCTCCTGATAATAGATACAATAAATCATCAGCATGATTTACTCCTATATTTTTTCTCAGACCATATTCCATATTCAGGTAACTTATTTCACCGCGATAGCCAAACATATATAAATAAATAGGTTTCTTTCCAAATTTCGCCAATTTTTCCGTTAAAATTGCAACGGGATAAACAAATTGACTGTCGCCGGCAAATTTAGTAAAATTCTTTAAAATCTGTGAAATAATTATAATTAAAAATGTGAATTTTTGTTCATTCTAACTCGCATTAAAATTTTTGCCTAAATTAAACAAAATTTTTTATAAATAATTTAATTTTTGATAGATTTAAAAATTGAAATTATGGAAAATAATTGAATTTTTGCGAGATTTTTTTAAAAAAAGAAAAAAATTTATACTTTTTTTTCTAACAAAATTTTTAAAAAATTAATATATCAAATTTTCATTGTAATTATAAAAGGACAATTTTTTTTTTTAATTTACCCTATTTTTACTGGAAAAAATAGTTCCATTAAAATAATAGTCCTTGATAATTGTCACAAATTTCGATAAATCCTTAATCGATGAATAACGATTAAACGTTCCATTGATACATTTTTTGAGAACATTTTCAATAGATCTTGAAGTACTGTTTGCATAAAAGGCTAGAGGAAATAAAAAAAAATGAATAAAATATATAAAAAGTAAAATTAGCAAAACTAATATTTTCTGCAAAATTAATATTTCGTTGAAAATTGAATAAATATTTTTAAAAAACTATTTTAAAATTCAATCAGAATAAAAAATTTGTATTTAATTATTTAAAAAATAATTTTTCTTTTGCTTACGCGCAGTAACGTATAGTCCTTCATCGGCAACAGAACCACTCATTAGTGGATAGTCTCTTAATTTATTTTCATTAATTAAATTCTCAGGTGTATCCGTTAAAAATGCATCGTTCGATTCAATTTCATTTGTTGGCAACCATGATATTTCAGGAAAATCCAAAACATTGTATGTCGTTAAATTTACTAATTTATAATAATCCACATTGCGTAGACAATTTACAATTAATTTTGAATTACTTATGGAGCAATCAAATTTTTTTGCAATCTTTTTAACGTCAGATTTAATTTCATTTTTATCTCTAAAACCCCATGGAACCAATGCATTACCACTTTGTGCAATATATTGATGAAAAAGGCCTGCGACAAAAAAAAAAAAAAATAATAAAATCTAAATTGAAATGAATTTTGGAAAAATAAATTTCCTATATATACCATTGGATTTATCTGACAGCGCATGAAATGAGACAGAAGCACCTCCGGCACTTTCACCGAATATTGTCACACGTTTTGGATCACCACCAAAAACACGAATATTATTTTGAATCCATTTCAGTGCCAATACTTGATCTTTCAGTCCAAAATTTCCCGATGCAATATTATCGGCCGTTGTAAGAAAACCAAGAATTCCCAAACGATAATTCATTGAGACAAAAATAATATTTTTATCCATTAAATATTTAGGACCATAGAAATTTAAACCACTGCTTCCTAAATGAAATCCACCACCGTGAATCCAAACCATCACTGGTAATAAAGTTTCGTTCTTCTCAAAGAAAGAAAAAAAAAGGAAATTTCTTTTTCTATAAATAGTTTTTTTTATAATTTTTTAATTTTAATGAAACTCACCATTAATTCATTAAATTTTAATTTTGGAGTGAAAACATTTAAATATAAACAATCCTCTTTTCCATCAACTTTTCCATTAACTGGTTGAGGACAAGCGTTACCCTCTTTATTTGCATAATAAATTTCCTTCCATTTTTTTATTGGTTCTGGACTTTTAAATCTGAAAATAAAATTTAAATAATTAGATTTCAATTAAATATTTAAATTATTTTTAATTGTAATTTTATTTATTAGGTATTTTCAATTTTTTAATGTCAATTTTACCTCAAGTTTCCAATTGGCGGTTCAGCATATGGTACACCTAAAAAAGCAGAAATATTTCTTCCATTTCTCGATGTAATTATTGTCCCCTTAAGTAAACCATCGGAAATATTCACTAGAGTGTCGTCCTCCGCACGAGTTTTAATATCGAATGACAAAATAAATATCGATATTATTAATAACAAATTATCCATTGCTATTTTAGCTAAACACAAAATTGGAGAATAAAATTTTTTTTTTAATTTATATTTTTTCAAATTTTAACAACAAAAGAAGAATAAAAATCGAAAATAAATTTTTTTATATAAAAAACTAAACTCACAATGAAGTAAAAACTGTTATCAAAAAAAATTAAATTATCTTCAAACGTGAACTTTAACAGAAGTTGACACTAATCTTTAAAAAAACAAATTTAGTGATACAATTATTTTATTCTTTTTTTGTTTGTAAATTTGAGAATTACCTTCTTCTTCGGTATAAAATTGAAAATAATTTTTTTTTCCTAAATCAAGGAATTTTTTTTTCTTCTTTTTCTCATAAATTTCAAGTACTGGACATTTTTTTTTTTTATCACAAAATCAGACTATTTATAAGAAGAAAATTCTTGACGTCCTTCGAAAAATTTCCAATAAAGTCGATGCGATTATTACAGTAAAGATCATTCACTTATTTTATCTTTTTTAAATCAGTCAATATTCAATTGTCAATATTAAAAAAAATAAATTCTTTTAAAATATAACATTTTATAAAATTTTATTTATAAAAAAAAAGAAGAGAAAATAATTAAAGTACGTAAGAATTCTTCAATATTTAAATTAAAAATAATTTTTAATTTTTGTTTTTTTTTTTTTTCTATAATTAAATTACACTGAATTTAATCTTCTGCATAAAATTATTTTATTTACTATTTACATTTGAGAAAAATGTTAATACTCAATTAATTAATAAGAAAAAAAATAATGCTTACAAAAAAAAAAAATTCTAAAAAACTATACATTAAAATATAGTCAATTTTTCACGATTTTTTCTATTTCTTTGCTCGGACGCAACATTTTTCTCTGAATTTCGCAAATGATTAATTTCACTTTGCATACTATTAAATCGTTGAACAATATTATTATAAGCCGAACTATTTTTATTATGTTTAGTTAAAGAATCTTTTAATTTATTTGCTTCTTTTTCCAATTTGGCAATATTTTCACTAATTTGAAAACTTGTTATATTCAATGTTTTATCGGAAATATTTTTTATTTTTGAAAGATCCTCGCGAATCTTAATACTTTGTTTTGAACAACTTGGTCCATTTTCCATTTTGGCTAAAATAGAATTTCATTTTTATTATTTATTAAATTAAATATTAAACAAAATTTAACATTATTATTATTAACAAGAATAATAATTATAATAATAATAAAATATAATATTCATCAAAAATAAATTATTTTTTTTTAATTAATAACTATAAAAAAATAATATAAAAAAAGTTGTATTTTTTGTTAAGATCCGTTTATTTGTATAAATAAATAAAATATAAAAATTTTATTTTCAAAAACTTACCTTTCGAGCTCAATGTGTCGTTAATAAAATTAAAAATATCGCTCTTCTCGATTTTTTGCTCCTTTTCGTACTGCCTCTGTCGTTGTTGTTCCATTTTTAATTTTTGTTTTTGCATTTTACGCTCGGCGGAAAAAAGATTTTTATCCCCATTCGCCATTTCACGAAGATGCATACAGTGATCTGAAAAATCAAATTTTTTGTTACAAGAAAAAAGCATTGAAACTGTTTTTTTGTTGTAATTTAAAATAAAAAATATTTCATATTTTTTCTTTGCAATTTTTTGAATATCATTTTGAAAATTAACCTAAAGATTTTCCTGCAGGTAATACTGTTGCTTCGACTGGTTGAACTCTTCCGTCGGCTTTTTTTCCAAGACCCGTGCCAATTATATAACCCATTTGTGCCATTATTCGACTTCCAATGCCCCTTGTATGCTGCTCCCAATTTCCCAATGGTTGACTTGAATCCACACTTAAAAGCGCTGAATGAATTATTTCTTGTTCATCGTATTCTACATTTGGCGTATCATTATCATCATCACTCGATGATGTATCTGACATTTGAAGATCAGAATCATCTAAAGGATAAATTTATTAAAAATTAATGTAATTAATTTTAAAAATTAGAAAAATTTTTAAAAATACTAGAAATAAAAATTTCATTAAAGGTCAATTTTTTTTTTTTTTTTTTTTACCAAGCGGAAGTAAATCTTGAACTAAAACTTCAAAAATTTTTCCACTTGCTTCGAATTTTACTCTATAGGGATCTTCCGATTTATTTGGAACTTTAAGTACGACACATCTGTGCCATAATTGATTTTTTTGTTTCGCTAAAACTCGACTGCCCATTTTAATATTTGAAAAATCGGGTTCTCTGAAATTTAAATTTTATTATCATATCAAAACAATTAAATAGATTTGTAACAAAATTTTGTATTGAGTTTGAATTTTCAAATTAAATTAAAAAATTCGAAATGAAATTTACCTGTATTCTTGTAAAGAAGACAATGGTACAATTTCTCCATGAGAAAAATGACACTGTTCCTCTGAGAATTTACAATCGCCTTCAAGAAAATAGGGACACGGAAGCATTTCTTTGTGTGTTGGATTCATGAAAACAACTCTCACCTTTGGGAAATTAAAAATTTATAATGTTAAAATTTTTTTAATTTAATTTTATAATATTTATAATATTTAATTAATACTATTAGGCTTTTTAGAAAAAATTATTATAGTAACTAAATATATTTTAAAATGTAAATTCTAATAGTAAATTAAAATATTACTTTATAATTTACCATTATTTATAATTAGTTTTAGAATTACCATTCACAGGCCTCGGATTATACGACTTTTTTTTTGACTTATTTTAATAAAATGCGACTTTTTCGACTTTTTTTTTACACCTTTTTTTAAAACAAAATTTAAACAAAATACGTTCTTTTAGTATACAATTTTCTTCAGATCTTCTTCATTTCAATTATTTAACAAATTTTTAACTAAAATTCTTCACTAAATTAATTATTTTTTAATAATTTTAATGAAATACTTTACAAATTCAATTATTTTAAACTATTTTTCAATTAAAATTTTATGAAATTTAATAATTGTTTATAATTCAAAAAAAAAATTACCAAATAAAATTAATTAATTATTTCAATTATTTTTAAAGATTTTTATAATATTCTTCGAAAATTCAATTATCTGATAGAATTTTTCAATTAAAATCTTTTGGAATTCAATTTTTATAAGTGATTTCTAATAAAATCATCAAAATAAATTACTAAAAATTTCTCTTATTATAATTTATTGTTTAAAAATTTAACAAAATCTTTTGAAATTCAATTATTTTCAAAAATTTCAATTTAGAAAGCTTCTAAAATTTAATTATTTCTAAAAATTTTTGAAATTTAATAATTTCAATTGTAATTCTCCTGAAATTCAATTATTTTTAATGATTTTTATAATATTTTTCGAAAATTTAACCATTTTTCATTTAAAAAGTTTTCAAATTATTGTATTTTTATCTGCAATTTCTAATAAATATTTTAGTGAAATCATCAAAAATTTTAAATAAAAAATCACTTGAAGTTCAATTAATTTCAAAAATTTTAATTTATAAATCTTTAAAAATTTCAATTACTTTTAAAAAAATGTTATCTAAAATTATTTGATAAATTATTTTTAGTTCTGTAAAATTTAATTATTGTCTGAAAATTAACAAAATCTTTTGAAATTTAATTATTTCTAAAAAATTTCAACTTTAACTTTTTTAAAAATTATTATTTCAAAAAAAAAATTTTATTTAAAAATCTATAAAACTTGATTAAGTATTGCCTGAAATTTTTTTGACCATCAAAATTAAAAATGATGACAAAATTTTTAATTCGAATAAATTGCTTAAGTCAGACTTGAAAAAATTATAAAAATGGAAATTTAAGAAAATTTTTTTTAAGAAATTTGTCCTACTTAATTAAAATTTTGAAAATTTTCCTTAGTTCGATTCTGAAATAGAATTAAATTTTCTTGATAATATTTATTATAGAATTATTCTTATTACAGAATTAATAAAATGAATTTATTGTCTAATAACATTAGTTATTTAAATTAAAATATTAATTAACCAATTAAATTTCGTTAATATAAAAAAAATTGACTTTTTCGACTTTTTGTGCCTTAAATTCGATCCGAGGCCTGTATTCACATTATATTTAATAATAATGTTAAATATTATGTTATCAATCTAAATTATTAAATTACTTGCCTTAATATCGTTTAAACTGGTAATACTTTCATTTTCTTCTCTATGAACGGACCAAACCATCGCATTATGATACCCAATACCACCCCAACTGCTTCCATAAGGAGCACGACATTTCATTCCCTCAAGAGCCTCCAACTCTTCCTGTAATCAACTTGTACCGTATATCTAAAGATTTATTTATTTTTATTTATTTCTTTTTTTTTTTTTTTTTTTTTTTTTAATACTGACTTCGATATCATTTGCCCCTTCTGTTTTCACATTTTCATCATTGTTTTTAGATTCGTCCGAGAAACCATCCAACTCTGCCTATTTATTAATAACACAACAAAAGATACAAAAAATATTTAAATTATAAATTCAAATAGGATCAGTTGGGGTAAATGGGGGAAAAAATCGCTATTTTTCACAAATTAGGTAAGTTTCTTTCTTTAAAAGGTATAATATTTGCGGGTTTATTTTTTTTTAAGTTGTTATTTACATTCCCAGGATTAATTTTAGTAGAAAAAAATTTAGATTTTTGTTAATTTGGTTAAAGCTGTCCCCATTTACCCCAAAAATTTGAAAACTCAGGGTAAATGGGGAGAGCTTGCCAAATTCAAAATTCTCGAAAATTTAAAATTTAAACTTCTCTCACAATTTTAATTATTTGTGACTGCCGATTTTTTTATACGCTTGTTTCATGATTCTAAACAATCAAGCGTATGGATTTTGAAAAATTTCAATTTTTTCAAAAAATGAAAATTTTGAAAGATAAAAATATTTGTAAAATTGTTAAAAATTACCTTTTGTTGTTTTTCTCAGTAGAATAAGATTTTTAGTTGAAAGAAAAATGTTGAAAAAAATTATTACCCCTAAACAAGATCAATTTTGATTGCTTTCAATTTTAGTGGTAATTTTGAAAAAATTCAACTACTTCCACAATTTTCATTATTTTTTATTGTCGAATTTTTTTTACGCTTTTTTCACGATTTTAAACAATCAATTGTATGGAATTTAAAGAAATTTAATTTTTCCAAAAAATAAATTTTCTAAAATGGCTAAAAAATTTTTTTTTTGAAATTTTAATAATTTATAATAATTTTGGATCCTAAATTATGTCAGAAAAAAAATTGACACTTTTTAACAATAATAACTTCAGTAGTCTGAAATTTCACCGGTCCCTCCCCTTAATGAAAGTTAAAAAATTAAAAATTCACATTTTGGCTATAAAATTTTGTGATTATTTAAATTTAAGTTTATAGATGAAATAATTGTATTCCTTACATGAAAACAAATCGATTGGTATATATAAAGTTTATATTTGAAGTAAATTTAATAAATTAATGAAAGTTAAAAAATAAAAAATTCACATTTTAGCTGAAAAATTTTGTATTTATTTAAATTCAAGTTTAAATAGAAAATAATTGTATTCCTTACATTGAAACGAATCGATATAATTTGTAAATAATTATAAATTATATATTATTTTTTATTAATTTTTAGAAATTTCAATTAAAATGTGAATTTTTGATTTTTTAACTTCCATTAATTCTTTAAATGTAACTCAAATGTTTATATTATATTATTTTTGTATGTTTATTTCAATGTTAATGCTTTCTCCACGAGGAAGCAAATTTTTTTGCTGATCGTAAAGAGGAAGCAAAATGTTCATGTAATGAAAATCTGAATTTACAACTTGTTAAGTCTATTTTCTTTGAAATGCTCGACAAAATACTGAAACAGTTTGACTTTGATTTTCAAGTTTTTATGCATTGAGCGATAACTTTTTTTTTTATCTTACTGCCAATTGTCAAGATAAAAGTTTGGCAATACTCAAAACCTCTTGCAAGTGATCTGAGATTAAAATATTGACGTTGAATTTAATTTTAAAACTGTAAATTAAGCTCCAAAACATCTTGTCCCCATTTTACCCCAACTTATCCTATAGAAAATATTTTATAAATACATAAAATTATATATTATGTTATTTAAAATACTTGAATACCTTAAATAAGGCATACTCGCGATCCAAGGGATCATTTGTCGAATTTTCATCCTTTTTATTTTCAACTGTTTCCAAACTTTCCAAATTTTCTTTTGTTAAATTAATAAGTTCTTGAATATCCGATTGAAGACTCAATAAATTATCCTTATCTGGACCTTTTGGAGTTGTGGAAAGTGCAATTTCAACTTGCGATAACTATAATAATATTTGTAATTAAATTACAATTGTAAATAATTTAAAATTTGTTATAAATTTTGCAATAATTTATACATATTATTATTTGTATAACATAAAAATTATATTGACATAATTCGATAATTATAAACAATCTCATTTTTGAGGTTAGAAAAAAGTTATACTTTTTTTTGTATAAACAATTACCTGTGTTTCATATTGTTTAATTGACTCCTTCAAACTATTAACATCAGTCATGATTTAAGAAAATACTTAAATATTGCAGATAGAAATTGCTTTTATTATAAATATATTTTATGCAGAAAATAAATAGAGAGAAAAAAAATTCGATAAATGAACTGTCAAAATCAAAACCAAAACAGTCAAAATGTGTTGGTAACACTGTTAGTATCATATGTCGGTAAAACAGTTTTCTGTTTAAATTCAAATTATATGTAATTTTTGAATTACTTGTAGTTGAAAATTTTAATATAGAGACAGTAAAAATTATAAATTAGCTTTATATATTTAAAAAAAATTAAACTATTATTGTTTTTCGAAAATAAGTAATGTTTATTTCTCCAATGACCTCATCGCCTCGGTAGCGCAGTAGGCAGCGCGTAAGTCTCATAATCTTAAGGTCGTGAGTTCGATCCTCACCCGGGGCATTTTTTTTGCCATATTTTATAATATAAAACATTTTTAATGCTTTTTAAAAACATTTTAAACGTATTTTTTAAGTTTTCCCTAGATTTTGGTACTAGAAATTTATTCACTTTTATTTTTTTTTTAAAGCAGACATTAGAAATGTTTTTTAATATGTAATATAAATTTAATTAATTTCTTCTCATTTATTAATTTTTACAATCACTGCATTTTAGAGCAAGGGATTCAATTTTCAAAATTAGCGCCATGCGCAGTCATTATGTTGGCAAACATGATTCGTAACAATATGGCGGAAAGTTATTATTTGACATTTGACACATAATTTAGATTAATTTTAAATTGTTTTTATTTTAAATAATAGATAAGTTTAAAGTAAATTTTTTTATTACTTAATTTATTGTGATGTAAAGAAAAGTTAATTTATAAGTTTCAGTGTGTTTATGAAAAAATATCCATGGGTTATGTTTAGAAATAATTTGAGGTTAGTTTTTATTTATCGCTAGCGTTTATTTATATTTATCTTATTTATTTACTTAAAATGATTTTAATGGTATTAAATTTATATAATATTTTGAAATTATTAAAAAAAATTTTTTATTAGTTTAAAACAACCTTTTTTTCTAGAAGTTTGGAGTAAATATAAATTAAAATATGGACAATAACATTTCGAAGGTAAACAAACTAAAAAAAATGACAATTATTATTATTATTCAGTAGTTAGTAATTATTTTTTGAAATATAAAAATTTTTACAGTCAAACGAAGTATCATCGTTTAAATTAGAACCTATAACGATTATTTCTGACCCCGTAAGTAAAAGATTTAAAAATTATTTTTACAAATTTATTAAAAGGATAAAATATTTTATCTTAATTTTATTTATTAGTTGCAAGTTAAGTCAGAAGATGAAGAAGATGTTAGTGGAATAAACAATTTTAATTCAATGGTAAAAAAAAAATTCATATTAATTTATATTTTTTCATTATTTTCAACTTGGATTTGTAAAAATAATTTCTATTTTTTCAGTCATCAAATACGAAATTTAAAAAACAGAAACAATTAAATATTGGAGAAATAGATAATAATTTTCAACCTCAAATTGTTGCTGAACAATCTTATGTTTTCTTAACAAATCAACGTTTGAATAATTCTAATGTAAAAATTCCATCGACAAAATATATGATGGTATGGGACAATTTATTAATTTATTTAAAAACAAAAATTAATTATAAATATGTGTATAGTAATAAAATAATATTTTATTCTATAGAATCTTTTAGATTTTTTAAAAGAAGATACTAATGGTAAAGGAATTTTAAATGTATATGAAAAAAATGGTAAATCATTAACAACATCAGCGAGAAAAAATTTGGTACACACAATTATTCAAAGGGAAAAAGAAGAAATTTTACGCGACATAAAAGTTGGAGAAGTTTTAAATGATTGGGAGTGGGTATAAATTTTTTAAATAAATAAATTTTTTTTTTAAATTGTTTTTCAAAATCTTTTTTTAATTTTAATTTTTTTTTTTTTGTAGAATTAGTAGAGAACGTTTTATAAAATTAGCCAATGAAATTGAAATAAATTTCAATGGTGAATCGTCAAAAACATATTATATGCCATTTAAAACAGATCAGGGACAAAAATTATTGGCAAATGGAAAATTACTTGATCATTTTCAATATGTTAAGAGAATAATGAGAAACGATGGACTTCTTAATTCAAAATTTCGACGAACATTACCTGATGTATCATCTGAAGCGGAAATACAATCAATTGATATTTCAGGTTTTTTTTTTTTTTTTAAATAATAATTTTTCTATTTTTTTTTTCTTTGTTGTTAGCTTTTAAAGGGTTTTTTTTTCTTTCTCTTTAATTTAGAAGCGGAAAAAAATGATTTGGAATTTTTAAAAAATCATTCAGAACCATTTGAGGAAGTAAAAACAATTTTTTTAAGAACTCACAATACAAGAAGAAATATTTTTCAATTACAAGAAATTAGTATTTTCGATTATATGTGTAATAATGTAAAGGCATTACATTTAAATACAGAAGGGCCAATTCTGGTAATGTAAATTAGATATTTGATTAAAATTATTATTATTAAAATTACTAAAAAAAAATTATATGTAAATGCAGATTGATATTGACTTTGATATTCTACACAAAGGAAAAAAGTCAATGCTGTTTGAAAAATGGCCAAAAATAAAAAATCACATAATGCATCTTTTAAGAAATAATAGTAAGGCTTGTGCCGAGGATGGAGCTTATATTTTGGCACTAAATACAGAACCTCCTGGTACGTTTTCTTTAAATTATGACAAATATTAGCTTTATTTACACTACTTATAGAGACAGAAATTTTATGCTTAAGCATAGAAGCATAAATTTAAAAAATATTCTGTAATTTTAAGATCTGTATTTAAAAACTATTAATTAATAGACAAATTTGCAATTTGCAAAAGCATTAAAGAGCATAATTTTCGTTTCTAAGCATAAGTGAAGTTTTTTTAATATTAATTAATTTTAAAAAATGTATAATACAATTTTTCTTCTAAATAAATAAATTCCCTGCTAATTAAAATCAATATTTAAAAAAACATTATTAAAAAAAAAAAATATTTTTAATACATAAATTTTTTATTAAAATCAGTAAATTATAAAAGAAAATTAAAATTTTTTAAAAATAATAATATTTGCAGAGTTTTAGTTAAAAATGTTTTAAATAATATATAACTGATTTAAAATAAATTAGATTTATTCATTTCCATTGTGTATTTATTTCGATTAAATATAAATAATTTAATTTTGAAATAGTTGCAATTGAAAGTTTTGACATTAGTTTAAATATGATTTTAAATTAAATAAATTTCAAAATTAATTCAATTTTCGAAGAATTTATTTAAAATTATTCTAAAATTATTTTATTCCAAAATCACAATTGTTAAAATAATTCAATTTTTGAAGATATTTAATTACAAGGATGTTAAATAAATGAAAATTTATTAAATTTTATTTGCAAAATTTTTGAAAATATAATTGAAATTTTTAAAGAATTTTGTTTAAAAATTTTGAAAATATATTATTTAAATTTTTCGAAGAATGTAAAAATATGTAAATAATTAGATGCATAAAATTTCTTTCTCTAACTATTTGTATAATTATTTTTTTTTTTAAATTTTAAAACGTAAAGATAAAAAAAAACAAAATAAAAAATAATTATTTATACTTTACAGATGTTCAAGATATTTTGATATTTTATTTATTGCATTATATTACTGTGGACAAAAAGAAAAGAAAACGTAATGATACTCTGGATAATTTGAATAATTTAGTAAATGAAAAGCCAAATTCATACGTTTTACACGTTGAGGTGAAATTTTTTAATATTCTAATTTCTCTAATTTCCTGAATTATTAAATTATTAACCATTTTTTTTAACAAATAATAGTAAATTAATTTCATACATTTTTTTTTGTGTTCCACTAAATTAAATTTATTTATCGCAGGATGCCAGTGAATTTGATAGCAGTTTAGAAAAATTAAAAAACTCATATAATTCAACAAGTGAAAAATTTCGTTCAGTAATTGCAATAGTTGGTCCATTAATTAATTGTCAAGCAATTTATGTTGTGGTGAATAATATTAAATATCAAACACAATCAATACTTGAAGCTATTGATTTAAATATAAAATTATTTCACGTTTTTAATTATAAATTCATGGGTAATATACAATTTTTTTGGCAATTTTTTCAATTAATTATATACGAAATACAAAGTCCTGAGGAATTTATTTGTATGAAAAATCGTGTTTTAAAAGGAGAAATTCAACATATTTTGAAACATTCAAAGTGAATTGTCAATTATGTTTTTCCAGGTAAACAATTTTTTTTTATATTTATTATTTTCATTAACATAAAATTATTTTAAATTTAATTTTTTTTTATATTTTAAATTTTGTACGAAAAAAAGGACAAAGAAGAAAAAATTAATAAATAATAATAATAAATTTATATTTGAAATGTAAATTTTTTTCTGTATTAAAAATTATTCGAGTATTTTGTTTTAAAACAAAAAAATGTAAGTAAAAAAATAAAATTTTCTTAATAAAAAATGGAAAATTATTATTATTATTGGAAAGTTAAATAAACTATTGCTTTTTCAGTGTTTGAGAGAAAAAAAAAAAAACGTGACGATTATGACACAAGAGGTGTGTTGAGTGAAGACAGTATTATGCAAATGGTTGCTTGCTGTTGGGGCTCGCCGCTCTCTTGAAATTGAAACGCGAAAGTTAAAACGAGTTGTGAATTGTTTGTTGCCCTTTAGCGATACCACAATTTGCAAGCAAAAAGCCCATTAAGCAAAAGGCGTGTCTTTCGTCAACTTTGTGCCATCTTTCACATATATATATATATATACAATCAGAAGGGTGGAAATTCCAAAGGCTAATAAAAAAAAAACAACTGTCTCCACTTAAAATATTTACATATCTTTTTTTGGAAAAATTAAATTTTGCAAAAAATTCAATTTATATTAAAATAAAATCTACTTAATTTGTCTCGAAAATGGACAATTCATGGAAAATTAAATTGAAATTCAAAAACAATTTTAATATAGAAAAAAAGAGTTGGGGATCGAATTTTTTAATTTAATTTTTACAAAAAAAAAAAAATCGAAAAATTAATTTTTTGAATCGTCTTTATAGAATTGAAAACAAAATGACGAGGTATTCACGCACCTCATCGTATAGAATGAAAAATGATGGGCGTTTCTAATTCCTTAGAAAAGTGCTGGAGTAATTGCTGGAGAAACCGCAAAAAAAAGAAAAGAAAAAGAGAAATATCCAGACGAATGTAAAAAGAGGGTAAAAAAAAGTAAAGAGCCATGAAGTAAAAAAAGGGGGTTGGCGCACGTTATGAAAAGTGGGGGATGAGAAAAAAAGAAGAAGAAGAAGAAAAATCCCGGAAGGGGATAAAAAAAAGAGGGGGGGGCGAGTGTAACGAAGCTCCGTTTTTTTAATTGGAATATATTCAGCAATGGAACGCCTTTTCATCGCAGAGTTGATGCTCTGAATGCGTTCTGCGAATAATCTATTTTTTTTTTTTTAAAAACATGTATTTCGTGTTTGTACATTTATCTTTGTGTAATATCGCATTTATAACGCGAAAATTCTTTTTCTCTCTTTCAAATGTGATCTTTATAAAAGATCAACGCGATATTATCGAAATTTTCATTTTTTCGAAGAAATTATGGAATTTTTTTTTTTTTTGATTGATAGACTCGCGATATTATTTAAATATTAATATCAAATTAATTAAAAGGGTAAATAGTAAAAATTATAAATTATAGTTGAAAAAAATAAATTCTCATTTAAAAAAAAAATTTTTTTCTCGATTCAAAAAAAAAGTCTCTTGACACGAACATTTTTTTTATTGATTCGTAAAAAAATACGAACATTTTTTCTTAATTTATAAAAAAATTTCCTTGACTCAAAAAAGGAATTAGTTTTTTGGTTTAATTATTTAAAAAACGAAAATTTTTTTTTTTTTTGTATTTTTGTGAATTTATGTGCATATGTATATACCATTATGCAAAAAAAAAAGAAAAAAAAGTGAAGAGCGAATAAGATGCGCGTGCCCAAGTGCCAAATAGATTTTACGCACGTATAAATCTATGATGATGAATATATATATATTCACAATACACACGTGGCCAAGTATACATGAGCACTTGACTCCCGCAGCTTCTTTATGTCCTTTGGTATCCTAACGTTTGTTCTTATCCTCTTCACCAAAAAAAGGAAAGAAAAACGTTCGAATATAAAACGACTAAACTTTTTTTTTCCACATATTAATTTTTTGACAAAAAAAAAAAAAATTCCAAACATAAATTTCAATTTTTTAATTTTCCCAAAATAATGAATTATTTTGGAAAATTATTATTATTTATTAATTATTTTATTATTTGAAAAATAATGAATTTTATTATATTTAAACAAATTTAGAAATAATAATAATTAATTAATTGTGTAATAGTAATAATAATAAAAATAATTATTATTAGGTATTATTATTATTATAATTATTATAATTAATTTCGGATTATTATTTTCAATTTCTGATTTACTATACAATAAATTTAAAATATTTAATTATTTTAATTAAAAAAAAAAAAAATGAAAGGAAAGAAAAACTGAAATTTTTATTATGAAAGTTTCTTTTTATCAAATATTGTGAGAAGTCAATTGAAAATAAAAAAAGGCTAAAGTTTGCTTTATTCATAAAAGAGCGATTATATATATATATATATATATATATATATATTTTTAATCCGGATAATTAAATTCGTATAGAAATAAATGTATCAATCGATAATTGACTTTTGACTTGTATCAAATTCAACCAATTAATTTTCAATTATAAGTGCCGGCACGCTTCTTGTGCCACGTGTTTCAAATATATTGTAACATTTCTCAAGTTGTTTCAGTAGCAAAAAGCCTATATAGAAGGATATAAAATTGAAAATTTATAAAAAATACTTTGAAAAAAATGTTACATTAAAATAAATTAAATTAAAATTATTTTCAATTAATTTTCAAATTTTTATTATATTAATTTTTAATTATTACTGTAATATTAAAAATTAATTTTTAAATATTGTAAATTAATTAATTAATTAATATTCGGCTCTCGAAAATATAAGTGATTCAAGGTTTTATTAAGAATAATAAATTTTTTTTTATCACCAATTATTTATTTATCTACATAAATGACATATTATTTAAACATGCAATCATTAAATTTTGATTCTATGATATCAAAAGCACAAATAGAAAAAAAATTTGTTTAGAGATTTTAATATTGTTTTTTTTAGAAGAAATAATTTATTTTGTAATTGAAATAATTATAATAATTATTATAATTGAAAAAATAATTTAATTTTACAAAATATATATCGAAAATGAAATAAACAATATTAATTGTATAAATAACAAAATTCAAAATAACACAACATTTATGATAAATAAAAATAACAAATTTATATATATATCTAATTACAATATAATCATCTAATTACGTTATAATTTTTGCTATATTTTATTTCTATTGACGATAAGAAAAATCGTTTTTTTTCGATTTCATTTAACATTAAAAGTATTTTCCATTTTTTTTTTCGACAGATTGTTATTTTACATATGAAAATTAATAAATCTAATTATAATAAAATTTAATTTAAATGAATTCATTTATTATAAAATTTGAATAATTTGAACGATTTATGTAATTTTATCATTTAATTATTCAATTAAATTTTAAATTTAATTAATAAATCAATTTTTTTATGAATTTTCAAATCAAAAATTTTTTTTTCGTAAATTAGAGGATTATTAAGTAATTAATAGAATTTTTTGTATATTATGATTTTCGATATTTTTTATATGTGATTGACAGCATGCAGTACAACAATTATAATAATAATAATAATAATAATTCTGCGACAACGAACTCGCAATAATTACATATTTACATTTTTGGTTATATATAAATTTCGAAAAATTTGTGACTTAACAAACTAAATTTGTCACTTTTTGTCATAATTAAATTATTATTTAATATTATATTTACATACTTATGAACACTAAAAAAAAAATTATAATATTTCAAATATAAATTGTTTTTTTTATCAAATAAATTCGTCAATTAAATAAATTCGTTAAATAAATTATTTCAGTCAAATATATTATTTAAAATTATTTGTTTCAAGTAAATAATTATTTGATAATAATTAATATTAATTAAATATAATTATATATTTAAAATAATTTTCTTTTTCACTGTATTAAATAAAAAAAATATTTAATAAGCGCTAAAAATCAAAATAACAAAAGAAAATTAATATTTATAATTTTAAATCCAAATGATTTTTTTGTTATATAAAATCGATTTGGTGCGAAATTTATACCAAATATAATTTTACATTATTTGGAAAAAAATTTTGAATAATAATTTCATTGATTGCAATTTTTTTTATAATTTTTTTTTGTTTTTTTTTTTTATTTAATTATAGATGAAAAACAATTTTATTTCTATACGTATTTTTTTCGGGGGGATAAAAATGACTAGATTTGGAAATTATTATTTTTTTTTTTTTTTTTAGAATGAATAATGATTGTTTTCGAATAATGAATTGTGGGCGGGTTAAAGTGGACAACCATGGACATACGTAACATTTCTAAAAAGAGCAGCAGCTGTTGATAAAAATGCTGCCGTCGATGCAGTTGTTGGAACTGGAGGTGGAGGCGGGGGTGGAGGATGTGTCGATGCCTGAGAATATGGTGGGCAATATGCGTCTATACTGCCATGATGAAGACCAACACCGCGAACCAAAAGTTCTTTTTCCACCGTCGCTTGATGACGAAGTTGCTCCATTCGTAATTGATTTTGTCTCTTCCATTTTGTCCTTAAAAAAAATTTTTTATTCCAATTTATAAATAATTCCCTTTTTTTTTTAAAATCAAAAATTATTTATTAAAAATTATTTTTATATTTAATTATTTTAATAAATAATTTAATAAAAAATTATATATATTTATATAAAAATAAATATAATAATATTACATTAATATAATATTATTAATATAATCATAATATAATATATAATATTATAAATAAATATATAATATAAATATAATATTACGTTAATATAATAATAATTAATAAAAAATTATTCAAATAAATAATTTAATAAAAAATAATTATTTTAATAATAAATAATTCGTTTCTGTAATTATAATTTGTAATATATTATAAAATTAATATTTTATTATTATAAATATTATTAATAATATTAATAATATTATTATATTATAATATTATAATTTATAATTATATTAACTTGTGTTTTTCACAAATATTTTTGAAGCGCTTTAAAAAAATAAAAAGCAAAAAAAAAAAATTATAGGTTATGTTTATGATATATCTTAAAACGATCATAAACATAACCTAAAAATTTTTTTGCTTTTGGAACATTCGATTTACCTTCGATTTTGATACCAAGTTTTCACTTGTGTTTCGGATAATGATAATGCATCAGCAACATCACTACGATCAGCGACGCTTAAATATTTTTGACATCGAAATTTTCTCTCCAAATAAGCGAGTTGAGCGTGAGTGAATGCAGTGCGTCTTCTTCTTGGTTTACGACCACTTGAACCACCACCAACAGGTGTAATGCAATTTTTTCCCGAATTCGCTGAAATTGGTGACGATGATAAAATAGGCGTTGGACTCTCAAGACGCGTACATGGACTACTTCCAGGATCAATAGTGTCCTCTGAATCGGAATGTAACGCTGAATCATCCTCAGAGTCATCTAAAATAATATTGTCATTATTGTATTTTGTACGATTATGCGTTTTTTTTTTTTGGTTATTGTTTATTAATAATACAGTCGAACCTGGTTAAGTGAGACAAAAAAATCCCAGTTAAACAGGTTAGACTGTACTAAATAAATTATAACATACTTTCTTATAATGGAAGTGTATTATAATTTTATAGAAATTCTTTAAAATACAGTCGAACCTGGTTAAGTGAGACAAAAAACAAATCCCAGTTAAACAGGTTCGACTGTACTAAATAAATTATAAAAAAACTTTCTTATAATTGAAGTGTATTATAATTTTATAGAAATTCTTAAAAATACAGTCGAACCTGTTTAAGTGAGACAAAAAAAAAACAAAAATCCTACTTACACAGGTTTGACTGTAATAAATATATTTAAAAACTACTTTCTATGAAGAGAGTGTATTATATTTTTATAGAAATTCTTTAAAATACAGTTGAACCTGGTTAAGTGAGACAAAACTAAATCTCACTTAAACAAATCCGACAGTAATAAATGTATTATAAAATACTTTTTCATTAAGATGAGAATGTAATAAATTACGCGTTTTTTAATGAATTGTTAAAAATACAGACAAATCTGATAAAGTGAGACAAAAAAATAAATAATCAGGTTTGACTGTAATAAATATATTTAAAAATTATACCTTCTCATTATTATGAGAGTGTATTATAATTTTATAGAAATTCTTAATAAAATACAGTAGAATCTATTTAAGTGAGACAAAAAAAAAAAAAAAACAAATCCCACTTACAAAAGTTCGACTGTAATAAAAATATTAAAAATACTATTTCATTAGATTAATAATATGATTAAGCGTTTTTTAAAATTAATTTTTAAACGTACAGTCGATCCTACATAAGTGAGTCAAAAAACAAATCCCATTTAAACAGGTTTGACTGTAATAATAATATCAAAAAAAACTAAATGTTTCAACTGTAATAAATATATTTTAAAAAAATTTGTTCTTATTATAATGAAAATGTAATAAATTAGGCGTTTTTTATGGATTTTTGAAAATACAGTCGAATCGGTTTAAGTGAGACAAAAATATAAATCCCACTTAAACAGGTTCAACTGTAATGAAAATATTAAAAATACTATCTCATTATGTTGAGAATATAATTAATTAAGCGTTTTTTGTTATTGATTCTCAAAAGTAGAATCGAACCTGCTTAAGTGATACAAAAAACAAATCCCACTTAAACAGGTTTGACTGTAATAGTAATAATAATATTAAAAATAAATTGAAAACTAGTAATTTTTTATATAAATAATAAGATTTAATACAATAAATAATAAAAATTATAATAATTACTACAATTATTTATTATATATATATTTTTTTTTATTAATAATACAGTCAAACCTGGTTGAGTGAGACAAAACTAAATGTCACTTTAACAGATCAGACTATAATAAATATATTTTAAAAATACTTTTTTATTATGATGAGAATGTAATAAATTAAGCGTTTTTTTATGAATTCTTTAAAATACAATCGAACCTGGTTAAGTGAGACAAAAAAATTAATAAACAGGTTCAACTGTAATAAATATATTTAAAAAATTTTTTTTCTTATTATAATGAAAATGTAATAAATCAGGCGTTTTTTATGGATTTTTGAAAATACAGTCGAATCGGTTTAAGTGAGACAAAAATATAAATCCCACTTAAACAGGTTCAACTGTAATGAAAATATTAAAAATACTATCTCATTATGTTGAGAATATAATTAATTAAGCGTTTTTTGTTATTGATTCTCAAAAGTAGAATCGAACCTGCCTAAGTGAGAGAAAAAACAAATCCCACTTAAACATGTTCGACTGTAATAATAATAATAATAATATTAAAAATAAATTGAAAACTAGTATAATTTTTTATATAAATAATAAGAATTAATACAATAAATAAAAAAAAATTATAATAATTTGTACAATTATTTATTATATTTTATTTTATTTATTTAAAAAATTTTTATTAAAAAATTATTTATAATAATTATAATTATTACAAGTATATTTTTTTCCTCCGCCTGTAAATTGACAGTATCAGTGCGTAAATTAATTTCGTTCAGATAATGAAACATTTGTCGATGATTGAAGGGTGGGGAGGGGGGGGGGTGGGTAATTGGATGAAAAAAGGGACGAAAAGCCAATTTTCTTGGACAAACGAATAAAAACTAGGGAAATTTTGTATTGAAAAGAGGGATTTTTGTTAATCCAATAAAATATCACAAAGAAAAGTATATATTATAATAGAAAACTAACACGTACGTTTATTTGAAAATAATTTTTTTTTTTTGGAGGGGATAAACGATTTTGAATGGAAAGGGATTTTTATAAAGTTTTGATTGGCCAATAATGCGTGTATGTCGCCCAGTAGGTGGTGTCAATTCATGATTCAAATTGAGCGACTAATGAGTACTAACGAATCTGTCCGCACATCGTATACCATCTGGAGATGGTGATTCTCAATGGGGTTGGTTTTGTACCCCCGGGGGGTAACAAAAAAAAAATATATATATACACCCTCGAATAAAATCGCCTCTAGAAATAATTCGAAAAGTAACGAGGATCCTACCGTGGACACGTGACTATCACCCCTCCCCCACCCCCTTTTCAACCCTTACACTTTAAGTGGAAAATCATTTAAGCTTTTATTATTTACAACTGCCAAGAATTGATTTTTTTAATTATAATTATATTTTGATTGTAAACAGTTATTTTAATTTACTCGTCTTTTTTTTTTTTTGTATAACTCATTTTTATACCATCAACAATTATTTTTTTTTATTAAGTTATTTTATTATGCCATATTATGGTAATTATAATAATTGATTTTAATTGCGTTATTCATTATAACTGCGATATATTTTAACTAATATTTTTTTTTATACAATTTTACATGGAAACAAAAAATCTTTACCTGGAACAGCGATAAGTTTCACTGGAATAGCTATATGTTTCACTAAAACAGGGAAAGTTTTCGCTATTCTAGAGAAACATATCGCTGTTTCAGATAAAGATTTATTTTTCCGTGTAATTAATATCGATTACAACTATAAATATGCTTTCTGCAAGTTTTAATTAGTGGAATTTTTATATTCAATTAGTATTTTAATATAATTTACAACACTGAAAAAAAATTTATTTGATTCAAAATTCAAATAATTTATTTCACTATTATCAAATAAATATTTCACTTGAACTAAATAATTTTTTTTGCAAATAATTTAATTAAATAAATTTGTATTTTAACCAATAATTTCTGTATTTTTAACTAATAAAATTTGTAACAAATTTAATTGACTCAAATAATAATTGTTCTACAAATAAATATTTATTTGATAATAGTTAAGTAATCGATTATTTGAAACAAATAAAATTTTTTTTTCAATGTAACGAATTTCTATTCTTTAAATTTGGATTAGTTAAAAATAACTAATTTAGTAGTAGAAACTTAGTGAAATGGTAATAATTTTTACTAATTTTGTAATTATAAAAGAAAAATAATTTTCACTTTAAGGTTACCAATAATTAGTTATTTTTTTACTAATCGATGAAGTAAACATTTTTTGTAACTAATTCAATTAATCAAATTTAATCATTTTTTTTAGTTATTTTTAGTTATTTTTTATTTCTAGTAATTTTTTTCCACTGAAAATTAGTTACTTTTTACTAAATTGTTGAACAAAAATTTCTGGTAACTAATTAAAGTAATCAAATTTAATCATTTTTTTTAATTATTTTTTTTTAGTTATTTTTGTTATTTTTTATTTCCAGCAATTTTTTTCCACTGAAAATTAGTTACTTTTTACTAAATTGTTAAAGCAAAAATTTCTGGAAACTAATTCAATTAATCAAATTTAATTATTTTTTTTAGTTATTTTCCTTCTAAAAATTAGTTACTTTTGACTAATAGTTACTTTTTTTTACTAATAATTGTTATTTTTACTAATAATTAGTTATTTTTTACTAATTACAGAAGCAAAAATTTCTGGTAACTAATTCAATTAATCAAATTTAATTATTTTTTTTAGTTATTTTCCTACTAAAAATTAGTTACTTTTGACTAATAGTTACTTTTTTTTTACTAATAATTGTTATTTTTACTAATAATTAGTTATTTTTTTACTCATTACAGAAGCAAAAATTTTTGGTAACTAATTCAATTATATATAGTAAAATTTAACTATTTTTTTAAAAATTATTTTTCCATTTAAAAATTAGTTATTTTTTATTAATTGACAAAGAAAAAAGTCATTTACTGACAATTATTTTTAACTAATTCAGATTTAGAGAATAGATTTGTCATTTGTCAATTTATTTACTGTAAGAAAAAATTAGTAGTAGTTACCATAACACAGAAAATTAAAAGGCATTAAAATAAGCTGCAACGCTTATTATTTTAATTCAATTTTGCTTATTTTAATCTATTTTGGTATTAAAATAAGCAAAATTGGATTAAAATAATGAGCGTTGCAGCTTATTTTAATACCTTATAATTTTCTGTGAATTTGTAACTATCATCAATAATTATGATTAACTAATAAATTTTTTTTTTTTTGATTACAGGTGTATGTTACGGAATAAAAGAAAAACAATTTAAAAAATTATATCATTAAATGTAAGTAATTATCAATTTTTTTCTTATTCGATACTTTTATATATATATCAAAATATACTATTTTTGATTATTATATATATATATATATTAATGCAGAATATTTCCCATAAATTTTATTATTAAAGTTATAACATAACATTAAAAATAAAAAAATTTTAAAAATATTTAAAAAAAAAATAGTTTTTAATTTAAGAATTCTTTATTATATGCCCGGAAAAAAATTGGTTCAAATAATCGGTTATTTGACTATTATCAAATAAATATTCACTTGAACCACACAGAAAATTAAAAGGCATTAAAATAAGCTGCAACGATTCTTATTTTAATGCAATTTTGCTTATTTTAATACCAAAATGAATTAAAATAAGCAAAATTGGATTAAAATAAGAAGCGTTGCAGCTTATTTTAATGCCTTTTAATTTTCTGTGCAATTAATTTTTATTTGAATTAAATAAACTGTATTTGAACCAATAATAAATCTAAATTAGTACAAATTTTAACTAATTTGAATTAGTGATTCAATTTTTGCCTTTGAATTAGTAAAATTTAATAAAAAAAATATATATATTTTACCACCGAATTATTAAAATACTAATTCAAAAACAAAAAGTGATTAATTAAAATTAGTTAAAATTTTTAATAATTCTTTTTGACAATGTCTCTTTTCGATGATTTTATAGTGAGAATAAAATACGGAAAGTATTCTTTTAGTGTTTCGGTTTTAATAAATATTACTAATAAATTTCTAAAATGAAAATAAAATTTTTCAAATCACTTACCTTGAACACGTTCAGCCAAAACATCGCCAAGAAGATCGCGAATTAAAAATGACTTATGCTCCTGCATCATCTTGAAAACGACACACTGATTACAATTTTCAAAAATTTTTTTTTTTTTTTTCCCCACTATAAATTTTGTTTATTTTTTTTTCTTTTTAGTTAGCACATATTATTCCACAAAAAACACATTTCACTAAATAACAATTAAACCACAAATAAGAAATGCAATCATTTTTATTTTTTTTTTTTAAAAATTCGTTTCCAAAAAAAAAAAAAAGAATAGAAACGTCTCTCACTCGTTAAACATATCAGACTGACAACGTCTTTCAAATAAACATAACACACACATAGAGAGATTCGTTTTGACCCAAAACTGAATCAAGGAAAATTTTTCTCCTCGTTTCAGAATTTACCCCTTCCTCTCTCACTATTATAACTTACTTTTCCGTATAGTTTTGTCGTGATGACATTTTCCCCCCTCCTATATATGTGTGCCCCTCGAATTAATCCGCCCGTTTATTTTGAACTGCCGGATTTTAATGCCCGCGCGATTTCGCCAGCCATTTTGGGGGTGGAAGCGCGCCATGTTTCGAGGTCGCTCTTCCATTGGTTAAGTTTAAGCGATGTAGAAAGAGGGAAATTAGGGGTGAGTCGAATGCCATTGGTTCATTGGGGGGTTGGCGGTGTGTTTCATTGGTGGATTCTTGATGTTGGTTAAACTGGAGCCACCCTTTGCGTGTTTTTTTTTTTTTTGGGAGAGGGGTTTATAGAAACCTTTAAAGGGGGTTCGGATCACTATATATATACATCAGTGACGATGATATACATATAAGAACCAAGGAAAATCATTGGATGAGCTATTACAAAAACATTATAATATTATATATACCCAGGGGAGAAATAAATTGAATGTGAAAATATTTTTCCTAAAGAATAAGAGGATTCAAGATTTTTTAATCATTTTTTTCCCCGCTAATTATTATTATTATACTCTTGAATAGATTTATAAAAAAAAAATTTGAGAATTTGCATTCGATATATGAAATTTTTATAACACTAAATTTTAATTTATAGTCTAATTTTAATATTTTAGACGAATTTTTATATAAAGTAGATATTTTTTTAGGAGTGCAATGATTATTTGACAAAAATTATTATAGTTAAAATTTTAAAGAATTTTATTAGATATATATATAATTATTTTTTAGATGAATTTTTATTTTTTGAATTAACATTTGTGTGGAATTTCTTTTTTAAAATAAATTTTCCACTTCAGAGAATTCTCATGTATATCGAATTTTTATTAGAATTCTAAAAAATAAGTCAAAAACACTAAAAACTAAGTGAAAACCCTAAAAAATTGCTTGTGAACATTAAAGAGACTTCTAACTCTAAAAACTAACTTAAACCCTAAAAAAGTAACTTAAAACCCTAAAAATTAACTAAAAACCCTGAAAATTAACTAGAAACCCTAAAAAATAACTTGTAAACCCCTAAAAGTAACTCAAAACCCTAAAAATTAACTAAAAACTCTTAAAAAATAACTTGTAAACCCTTAAAGTAACTTTAACCATAAAAAAGTAACTTAGAACCATAAAAATTAACTACAAACCCTGAAAAATATCTTGTAAACCCTTAAAACTAACTTCCAGCCATAAAAAGTAACTTAAAAACATAAAATAGTAACTCAAAACCCTAAAAAGTATCTTGAAACCCCAAAAAATTAAGTTCTACCCCTAAAAAGTAACTCAAAACCCTAAAAAGTAACTTTTAAATCCTAAAAAGTAACTTAAAACCCTTAAAAGTACCTTGAAACCCTAAAATAGTAACTTTTAACTTTAATAAGTAACTTAAAACCCTAAAAAGTATCTTAAAACCTTAAAAAGAAACTTAAAACACTTAAAAGTACCTTGAAACCCTAAAATAGTAACTTCTAACCTCAATAAGTAACTTAAAACCCTAAATACCTTGAAACCCTAAAATAGTAACTTCTAACCTTATATAATAACTAACTTAAAACCCTAAAAAGTACCTTGAAACCTTACAAAAGTAAATTAAAAACCTAAAAATTATCTTGAAACCCTAAAATAGTAACTTCTAACTTTAATAAGTAACTTAAAACCCTAAAAAGTATCTTGAAACCCTAAAAAGTAACTTAAACCTTACAAAAGTAAATTAAAAACCTAAAAATTATCTTTCTAACCCGAAAATAGTAACTTTTAAATCCTAAAAAGTAACTTAAAACCCTAAAATTTTAACTTCTAACCCTAAAAAGTAACTTAAACCCTAAAAAAGTAACTTAAAACTCTAAAAATTGTATCTTGAAACCCTAAAAAGTTACTTAAACCTTATAAAAGTAAATTGAAAACCTAAAAATTATCTTGAAACCCTAAAATAGTAACTTTTAAATCCTAAAAAGTAACTTAAAACCCTCAAATAGTAACTTGTAACCCTAAAAAGTAACTTTAACCCTAAAAAAGTAACTTGAAACCCTAAAAAGTACCTTGAAACCCTAAAATAGTAACTTCTAACTTTAATAAGTAACTTAAAACCCTAAAAAGTATCTTGTAGTCCTAAAAAAGTAACTTCTACCCCTAAAAAGTAACTCAAAACCCTAAAAGAATAACTTTTAACCCTAGAAAGGAACTTAAAACCCTAAAAAGTAACTTCTACCCCTAAAAAAGTGACAAATAATAATTCGGCGTTTTGAAAATATTTCACCAAATACAAATTACCTAAAAATTATATTAATTAAAAATTCTTTTAAAAAAAGAATTTTTTTCTTTCTAAAAATTGTTATATAAAAGAAATTAGAAGTGATATATTATATACATATTGTAGAATTGTCAGTAAATGAAAAATATTATCTCGCTTGCACTAGTGTATAAAAAGCAAACGATATTTTGAATCAAAGTGCACTTGAATTTGCAGGGAGCGATCGAGAGCCAATTATCTCAGGGAGGCTTCTTTCTCTTGCTTGTATAAAAAATCCATTCTGGTACAATATATATATATATATATATATTTAATCCGTTCTATTGATAACAGAAATAACTGCCTGTTATATTTTTATATAAAGTCAAAAATCGTTCTTTCTATTCGTTTATGGCAGAAAAAATTTTAAAAACTGACCATACAATTTTCATAAATAACCATAAGTTTTCATATAGATTACCACTAATTTCCATAAGTAACTGTAAATTTCTATAAATTTCTATAAATGACCATAAATTTCCCTAAATAACTTAAAAATATTTCTTAAATGACCACAAATTTCCGTTTGTAATTGGGAATTTTCTATAAATGTCTATGAATATCCATAAATTTCCCTGAATAACTTTAAATTTTCATAAATGACTACAAATTTCCAGAAGGGATTAGAAATTTCCATAAATGACTATAAATTTCCATAAATAACTTTCAATCTTTCTAAAATGGACTAAAATTTCCGTAAGTAACTGTAAAAATCCATATATAAATTACTATAAATATCCATAAATTTCCATAAGTGATTAAAAATTACTAGAAATAACCATAAATTTCTACAAAATTACATTAAATTTTCATAAATGAGTACAAATTTTCATGAGTAACTGTGATTTTCTAAAAATAACCATAAATTTCCCTAAATAACATTAAATTTTTCTGAATGACCACAAATTTCCGGAAGGTATTAGAAATTTCCATAAATGACTATAAATTTCCATAAATGACTATAAATTTCCATAAATAACTTTCAATCTTTCTAAAATGGCCTAAAATTTCCGTAAGTAACTGTAAAAATCCATATAAATTACTATAAATATCCATAAATTTCCATGAGTGATTAAAAATTACTAGAAATAACCATAAATTTCTACAAAATTACATTAAATTTTCATAAATGACTACAAATTTTCCTAAGTAACTTTAACTTTCTAAAAATAACCATAAATTTCCCTAAATAACATTAAATTTTTTTGAATGACCACAAAAATTCCATAAGTGATTAAAAGTTATTATAAATAACCACAAATTTCTATATAAATTACTTTTTATTTATTTATTACTTATTTATTATTATTATTATTATTATTATTTATATTATTTTTCTTTATTTATTTTATTAATTATTTATTATCAATTTCACTTTTAATTTATATTTATCCAATTGAAATATTTGTGGACTTTGAAAAATCTCATCTCCGCCTGGGATCGAACCTCTGTTTTTAAACTGCGAGTCGGAAGCTCTAACCACTGAACTACTCATCTTTGTAAGAGATTTAAACTAATTTTTCTCTTAAAATACGAGCTGAGAGCGAATTAAATTATTTGGTTGTCGTAACAAAAATTTTGATTGGAATTTAAAAATGTTCAACCAAATAATTTTATTGGCTTAACCAAATGTTTGCGGTTGAAATAACTCTACGTCTTTGTTTCAGCCAATCAAAATTTTTTTTTCAGAAACCAAAATTGCCTATATAATTAAACGATTTTGTTGCAAACCCAAACCTTTTTTTTCATTGTATAGTGAATTTTGAAACTTTTGATATAAAATTTTCTGATTACAAACATTTATTCATACATATTATATATATAAAGACTCGAAATATCCAATAGAATATATGCGGCAAATTGGTAAATATACGGATAAAAGACGCAAAGAGTGGATTACGGTAGAACGATTTAGAACAGAGTTGAATGTTGAATCAAATTGCGGAGCGAAGGGTTTTTCTTTTTTATTTCAAAATCGTTAACAATCGCGGAAATGGAAGATCCATTGACGAGCACTCGTGCGCGTGAATATAACTGCTGAATAAATTCACACACAGGGAAATACCAAATATAGATATAAATGTTGAATGGAATTGAAAAACCGAGGTTTGCGTTTCTATTATGTTTTACAATCTCGAAAAAAAAAATATATATATATATCTCTTTTTATATCAAATATCATTGCAACGGAAAATTCCCTTTTTTTCTGTGGCCATATAAATATTTATTTGATTCAAATAAATGTTTATTTATTACAAAATAATTATTTCTATTTGATTGAATAATATTTTATTTTTAGAAATTTTTAGTTAAAAATAACTATACACTGCGTGAAATGATTGATTGCAATTATCATTTCGTTAGTAAGAGTATTTTTGCTAATTTATATTAGTTACTGTTACTATTTAGTTAGTTAGCCTAACCATTTCGTTAATCTCTAAATCTGAATTAATAAAAATGTTTACTAATTGAAATTAGTGACTCACTTTTTGCTTTTGAATTAGTAAAATTTTACTAATTATTAGTAACTTTTACTAACAATTAGTAAAATTTAACTAATTCTAAAGCAAAAAGTGAGTCACTAATTTCAATTAGTAAATATTTTTACTAATTCAGATTTAGAGAGTAGTAAGGTAACTAATTAAATAGTTATTCTAACAAACTAATTAGTAAGGCCAACTAATAAAATAGTTATGCTAATCAATAAAAATAGTAACAACTAATAAATTAGCAGCAGTATAGTTTACTAACTAAAAATGGTAACCCCAACCAACCCACTTGGAAAGATTCCCCGGAAAGTGCCCCCTGGAGGTTCTCTC